CGACGGTTTTTGCGCCGCTGAATGTTTGTTTCGGAGCTAACGATCAGATCATCTGTTGAAATCGCTTCTAACTGACTATAAAATATACCTAGTGACATCTGTTGATCGACTTGGAGTATTAGAAATGTTAGAAATTGAATTGCAAGTCACTACGTTGTACCCGCCGAACAGATAGGAATTTGCCGCAGGTACGCGTTTCGGAGCGCTTCGGTAAAAGGTCGAAATTTCAATGAAGAAAAATTTAGCCGGCTATAACATCTAATGTACCTTTTTAGAGGGTTCAAAGTATTTTTTAAGCGAATAAACAAAAAATTGATTTTTTGAAAATTTTACAGTAGACTTCCCCCTTAACACTTTCACAACCGCATGTTAGCGCAGTGAAACGTCGCCAGTGGCCGGCAATATTTTGGAAGAAAAAACTTCACGTAAATTCATGAAACAATTAACATTATTATGACGTGCTAAGAAAAGTTTTGCAAGTGGCTTGCCACTAGTACCACGTGGGAGTCACCGGCAAATAGCGACTGGCCTATCAATGGTACCACGTGAGTGTCACCGGCAAATAACGACTGGCCTACCAATGACATCACATGAGTGTCACCGGCATACAACGACTGGCCTGCCCATGACACCACATTGGTGTCAGCGGTTGTGAAAGTGTTAAGGGTCTTAGCGGCATGGTCGACTCGCTGCTTCGAGACAACGTTCTGTGCCTTGAGTCTTTTTGTCTCAAATAACGGTGCCACAATAAGAGTCTTATGCCTGAAGTTTTAACTCGAGAAAACCCAAAGACGGCCGGTGGACCCCACAATCATGTTAAGCTCTTGCTAACTGAATATGTAAAGGCATGTATATATATATATATATATACATATAATGCCCTTTCCTGTAGCTACCCAAACAGAACAAATGTCTAAGAGATGTCTTAAAGGCATCTAAAGGCCGTTCTATTTTTTCTTGGTATCTTTCATACGTCTTTAAGAGATCTTTTAAAAATTTGTTCTACCTGGGCAAAGAGTTCATGGAAGTAGTACTTAACCAATCGAGTTCTTTTCGACGTGGAAAAAGTTTTGGAAAAGATTCTGACCCACTGGGATTAACAGACAGTCGGTTGCTTGGGCTTTCCAGAGTTAAACTAAAAGGTCGTTCCGTTCGTGACGTTGATGACAAATTGCTATATAGTAAGAAAAAAGTAAAAAAAAGAGAGAAAATGACAACTCAGACAAGGCTTGGAACGTAGAACGTTGTCTTAAAATTACAAGCCGGCCGTCTTGCGAGGCCCTTATTCGCGTATGTGGGCAACCAAGCGGCCGACTAGAATATTTTGACAATGTGTTTCAACACGGTAGGTCTGTTTCCTGTTTTTGCACTAAGATTGAACTGAACTGCTGCAAGTTAGAACTGACAAATTTAAGCGCGCAATCATGGAATAAAGAACATTCTAGTGCAATAATGAGGTCTGTTCTTTGTCGCTGAACTTAGTGCGCTTAAGCACTTTCGGAACATGAAAAGAAACAAATATATAGCTGTGACTTCGTGTAAAAAAATAAAAGAGGGAGATAGAATTAGTGCAAGCTGGTGCAGCCAGTTTAGCTAGAAAGAACGGATCTACGGCGTTATATACTTGTAGAGTTGAACAAGGTTGATTTTTTCCAACGCTAACTGGCTACGGTAGTTTTAACTTGTATATCTGAATGTGAAATGCTATATATTAAAATATAAATATTGTAAAGTCCCTTCGATGTCCAGGAAAGCTCCTACTTTCGTATTTGCCGTTCAACTTTTGTTATTATAGCTGCTTATAATAAACGTTCAAAAGTGCAAACTTTCGAAGCAAAAGCGATAAAACATAACTTGGGTCATCTGAATGTTTGGCTTCGCGCGTTCATACGTGTCATGAAGTCATTAGAGTGGAAGTACAATGATTTAAAATGACACAAAGATGCAGGCTGCTCGGTGTTTCTTGCATTCTCTGATTCGAGAGTTCCAACTGTCCTCGCATCTACTTGCACCAGGTCTCTTCATTTTCTTAACTGGTTGCATTAACTTGTACTAGTTCCCTTCTCCTTTTTCTTCCACCAAGTCTTATTTCTCTCTTTTTAAGTTCTACAAGTATAACACTAATTCAGCGAAAAAGAACAGACCTACTGGCTCCGGATCTATACAGACAATTTAGCGAACTTGCACTGAGTTTCGCTGCAGTATGAAAAACAGCGTCACTGACACCAATTCTGGGATAGAAAAAGAAACGCGTAGTCTCAAACTGATGCAGCCAGTGCTGGAGAAGAAAGAAATGTTTTAACAATATCCAACCAAATATCGAATTCGAAAATGACAAGACACGACGGCTCCTTGGTTCCCAAATCGCGAGGGTAACGAATTAAGGCCGCAGACGAAAGAGGAGGGACGAGATTTCTTCGTGACAGAAAGCCGCTCGGCCATCATTCCGCACCCCGTTCGCGTAACGAGCTCGCTCGGTAATTTCTTAATTAGCGCTATCCGATCACACGAACGACAAGTAGGTGGGTCGTTTCACGCTGCGCGGGATCGTCTGAAAAAAGTTAATCGGTCGCGCGATCATTTCCGGGGATTTGTATTCTTCTCGAAAGAAAAAAAAAGGTCTTCAGTCGCTCCGCCGATTCGGCCAGCGGTTTTTTCGTGCGCGCTAATTTGGCACGTGTTTCGGAGAAACAAGAATTTCTCTCTCAAAGAGAATGCAGAAATGATCGCACTATAGCGCCGTCGATCGGGCGATTCCGCCGCGCGAGAGAAATCCCGTGTGCCGCACACGTGGCACGCGCGAACGTTTTTTTTTCGCGTCTCTATAGCCGCAAATGTATAAAATATAAACTCTCGAAAATTCTCTCGCAATTCTTCTCTCTCTCTTTTTTTTTCGGTTTTTCCGTTTTTAGTTATATTTGCGTCACAGCAGAGTAAACAAATACCAAAGTGGTAGTTTCCTACAGTCGAAACAGGTATAGGAGAGACTAGACTAATTCTAAAATCACGGTTCGATCATTTTTTTTTCTTTTCTCTCTTCCGCTCGTTATTTTCTCGTATATTCGCTCGCGAGAATCGAAGTACCCGCTTTGCGCGGATCGCCGTTACTTACAACAAATTGTATTACAAAAACGCGGAACTGTTCTCGCGGATGCGTTCTACCGCGTACGTGGCTCTGTGTTGTGTGTATACAAGTGTCTGTGTGCGCGTGTGTGTATCCGTGTATGTTTTTATTCTCCTAAAATATTATGTGTATATATATATATATATTAGTCTTTCACGATTAATCTTTTTTTCAAGATCGAGAACGCTTGGCGTTCTCTCGATTGAATGAACGGTCAATTCGTCGCAGTCTTGTTACGCGACAACGTTTGCGAGAGACGAGCCGGGAAGGTTCGTTCCGCAACCACCGAACGCTCGATCTTAAGATTTTCTCTTTTTCCATCGCTAATGTAATTCTAGTAGTAACTACGCGTACGAAAAAAAAAAATTAATAGCTGTCTTTCAGTGTGGTTGACACAGATTCGATCTCCATCCAGAGTCGAGATTTCGGCGCCGCTTCGACGCCCTCAGGACAGTTCGTGCCAATTGATGGCCTATAGACTAGCGGAAAACCTACTTTGACGATATATTGACGCTTATTAATTTCCCTCTCGAACTTTTAACTCTACAGACTTAATTTTCACGCCATCTCGGAACAACATATTTTGACGCTGAAACAGCGAAAATAGAAACTCGAGGCATCTCATCGGGGTCAATGTAGGAGTAAATTGTATTATCAGGATTAAAAAAAGAAACCTATTTTGCTGTTTCAGCTCCTAATCTAGAATTAAAAGTTCAATATAGGGCCGAAATTTCGACTCGGGTCCTTTCTTTAACCAAGGATCGATACCGACGACTCATTCTTAAGAATCTATATATACCTGAACGGCTCGAAAAAATGCCCGCTTGAATTTTTCTGCTGTGCACATTATTGATTTTATGAAGACGTCCTTTTGAGAGATGATTTTCGTATAGTCGATACTTGAAATATTAATTTTTTATTAAAGTCATTAACATTCAAAATAAAAAATTCAATCTTTTCGCCAAAAAAAATCTCTTTTCATTTATAAAAAAAAAAAACTATAATAGATATTAAAAAATCCTACAACTAGATATAATCTTATTAAGGATATTTATGCAAAACTAGAGCTAAATCAGCCCGATAATTCCAGAGATATTTTGGGTACCGATTAGCGAGGGAGAGCTTCATAAATGTAAACAAAACATATGAAGAATCATCGCTGAAAAGGACATCTTTACAAAATATGTTCACGTTATGAGCAGAAAAACTCAAGCATTGGGCGTTTTTCCCGAGCCGTTTAGGTGTACATAGCCTCTTGATTCCGTCCGCAACTTCAGAATTCTGGCTCGTTGAATCGGCACGACGATGTGTCCGATCGAGAACGAAAAGAAGCAGAATATAATCGCGTAAAAAAAGAAAGAAAGAAAAAACAAGAATTATCTTCCAACCGATAGACTCTAATGACTAGCGTATTTCAATCGTATAAAGCGCGTATCGAATCTTTGTATTTAGTTGTTACCCCGTAAATGCCTGCGAAGGGTTTAAACGCTTCCTTTCTTTCTCCATTTCGAGAAAGAGAGAGAAATTGTTAACAAAGTATCAGTTAACGCACTACGGCAGCTCTACGTCTCGTTTCCGCATTGTTAGTGCGAGCGAAAAAAAAAGAAAGAAGGACAATTTTTCCCCTCGAGGACACGCGAGAAGAAAACGCAATCTCGTCGTAACATCGACTCAACGCTGTTCTACACGCGTCGCGTTTGTTTTTTTTTTCCTTTTTTTTTCTATGGATATCGGTAACGAAACCGACATCGGGCGGGGGAGGGAAGAAGGGAGGACATTCGTTCGCGAGGGAGGATCCCCTTCGGAGGAGGCGAAGACTCGGCACTCTCTCTCTCTTCACTCGGGATCGGTCTCCTCTTCGCCGATCGGCAATATCGCGACGGGGCCGGCGGCTGCTAATTTGGCTTTATACGCTTCCGGTTCGAACCAGCGAATCGGTGCCTGTTCCGGAAAAAGAGAGAGAAAGAGAGGAACGATTAGTCTCCAGCGGGTGACGTTCGAGCGTCGTCGACAGAGCGGCATGTATATATATTATCCCTTACCTTATACCTCGTTATGTTACAAGCGGCATGCTTCGGTGTTGGGAAGCCGTGTATGTTAAGTATTGCTCACGCATGGGCACATGCAGGCGATAAGTCGTGAGTCTCTTGCCCTTTCTTTTTTTTCTTTTTACTACCGACATTCACCGAGGCTCTTTCGGTGAGCGAGCGAGCGAGCGAGCGGAGAGCAACAGACTCGGATGGATTTCGCAGTATGATTTATTATTAATACAACGTGTATGTGAGTTCGATACACAACACTAAGTCTTATGTCCTCGTTAATCTCCTGGCGTGTGGTAGAATCCCTACACCGTCCGTTCGGGGGTTCCATTCTTATATCTCTCTCTTTTTTATTATATTTTCTTTTTTTTGTTTTTTTTTTTCCTTCTCGTCTTTCAAATCATTCCTAACGTCAGCGCTTTATAACACAATCGTTATCGTAAAGAAGAGAAACGCGAACGGATACGTATAACGTGAAATAAAATTCTCTTACAACAAAATACGAAACAAGCGATAAAGTATAGCAAAATAATACATATATATATATATATATATATACATATATATATATATATAGAGAAAAACACACACACACATATATATATATATATATATATATATATATAGAAAAAAACATTAAAAACACGTGTTACGTATAACAGATAGGAACGTAGAATTAGCACGAAGAGCAGCCCTCTACGATGATGCCGTACGACGCGCGACAATGATATACGACGATTTGTCCGTTTAACGCTGAGTAACAAAGAGTAAATATAACACGTAAATAGGAAACATTTAACAATATCGCGCGTACCTCGCGCTCAACGAGCCGATTGCACTGTCTCGCTTCGTGTCCGCCAGGCGAGACAAGAAACGCCAAGTTCCTTCCCTAAATTCAATCAGTCGCGTAATTGGCGTACGCAAAATACACGCACGCGGAAAACAAATCGTGAGCGCGTCGAGATAATTAATAAAACAAAAGAGAAAAAGAAAAAGGGGGAAAAGATAAAAGTAAAACGAACGAAAACAAAGAACACTGGCGTTCGTGTTCACGAGACTCGCTTACAATCTTTGGTCTTGAGTTGAGAATCCTTAGAAAATGATCACTTCTAACCGGTTGGAAAAGACCTTCACCGTTACAGGATCGTAATTGTCTAAAGCTCCGTTAGTACGAAAACGCGAAACAACGCTGTGAGATTCACTTGCTCCGATCACCGTAAAATCTGCCCTCTCTCGCGCGAGCGCGATTGGAAATACTGATACAACTACTAATACTCGCGAGGTCCCTCGAGTCGTAGCTGTGTCTCCCCCTCCCAGCGAATACAAAGGTTCACTTTACATTCTACGAAGAAATCCGCGCACACGCAGTAAGCAGTAAAATGTTAGCAGCGTGCCCAGCCCCGTTTGGCAGTTCGTGCGTCTCATCGACGGAATCTACGGAGGATCCCGTTAAAGAAACAACCAACCGTTAAGGAGCGAGCCTGTCGTCGTTGATTAATCCGCTGATGTTCAATTATCTGAGAAAATAACAACGAATCAACACGTCGAAACGCCGCCTGTCGAACGATTACCTCCGATTTACCAATCAAATTAGTAATTTAAAAGATCCAATTGAAATCGAAAGCTCGCAAGAGAAACCTTTAATTATGTTAGTTGCGAGAGGTCGGTTAGGCGTCTCGACGGGCTGACACTCGAGGCAATGACGCGTCCACAAGAAAGAGACAGAGCTACTTCCCGACGTTGCTTCTCCCCCCCCCCCCCNTCTCTCTCTCTCTCTCTCTCTCTCTCTATAGATGAGTGATTCTCTATGCGAGAACTCTATAAGAGAGGGTGGGCTTCCTCCCTTTTTTTTTTATTTTTTTATGGTATTAGTAGGATTCAACGCGAAATCGGAAACGGATCTCTCGCCTCCGGCCTAGTCTAGAGACGTGCGGGTTAAGAAACACCATGACAGTAATCACACTCTTATCACCACGCTGGTCGCAGTCACCGCGCCGTGTAACGTTTCACAGTGAGTATATTGTTACGTTACTGGTGAGCGTCATAGAGAAAGGGAGGGGGTATATTAAATCGCGGCGTTGCAAGGATTAACACGGAAGGTGTTGCACGGTATGTGATTAGCGTTCCTGTCGCATAGCGGTACCTTACGAACTATATTGGGACATTCCTTTTGTATGCGCGCCCAATCAGCGGGTGGCCGCTTCGCGTAGGGGCCCGTGGCGCACAGCAACAAAAACTCGTACGTAAGTTCTCTTGCTTCTGGAACTGCATCAGACAAATTACTCCGGTAAGGCTGGATTCGTGCAGGACATCGACCACGTAACTTTTCCCCTAGGACGGAAACGTGAAAAGTGAAATGTTTTCAAATTAGAAAATTACACTTTTAGGCCACGTCCCGAAACATTCGTCTCGTCGAGGAAAATTTCTCTCGGTGGCCTCCGATTTATGGAGGGGGGACTAATCGAAAATGAGCTTTTCCGGAAGTAAAATCTTCCTCGAAAAGAACGTTCTGGAACGTAGCCTTGGAAGAGGAGATTCACGACTCCTTGGGGACTGTGATTGTGAATCCTACTCTCTAGTATGAATCCGTGAAGAAAATATAAATTTCCTAATTTGAAAATACTTCACTTCCACATCTCACATTTCCACCGTAAGGGAAAAGTTACGTGATCGATGTCTTGAAAGAAAGAAAAAAAAAAAGGAAACACTAAGGATATAATACATTCGGTAAATTGTTCTGAAATTATTCTCGTGAAAAAGTGATAAATTTTCGAGAAAACGAAAAGGAAAGCGATTAGAAATTTCTCTGTGCGCGGTCGTCGTTGCGAAAGCTTCGAGTACCAGCAGAAACACTAAGGATAAATAGTAATAATTAGAATTTCTCTACTTATCTACCTTGTTGAGTCGAACACAGCTCCTCGGAGATCGGCCGAGGCTTGTAGGTTTCTTCGCTCTCCGAGGTCGCGGCGCTGTCCACACTCAATTCTCGGCCTAAGGTGTTCACGTTAACCGCCGCCAACGGCGCACGGGTAACGGGGGTGGAGGAAGTTACGGAAAAGCTGGGCTCGTCCTCGTAATTGAAGTACTCTACACCGCTGGTGAAGTTGTCGGGCTCGCCCAAGAAGTGTTCGTCCAACACTAGTTTCGCCGTCTGCGAGGTGTGGCGAACCGTTGGATGGAGGGTCGCGTGAAAATTGTGCGCGAATAAAACAAATAAACAATAACTATTAATGGTTGAAATAAATGGTGTGAAATATAAAGTAGAAAGAGAAGGCAAATCAAATCAGGTACTACCAATCGAAAGAAATTTATCACGCGTGCGATTAATCTCAACTGAATTTTGTAGAATCGAAACAAGAATAGCTGCAATTACTTTCCCTTAAGCTTGGTTTACAATGTGCTCTTTGCATCTTGTTCTTGTTTTCTTTCTTCTGCAAGAACTTCTATTCACTTATGAAAAAAAGAGACGGAGAGACAATAAACGAGAAATAAAGGGCACATTGTAGATCAGGCTTTAAAGATAAGCGAAACCGAGCGAATGGAATCCGCTCTGTACAGGCTAGAAATGAAATAGGTGGTTCATTACCCTGACGAGATCGAGATTGCAGCCCGTAATTTTGAGGGACTGGTTACCGACCGTAACCGTGTACTTGTATTCGCCTATACTGGCGTCGTTGGTGGAGAAGCTGTGGAGGAGAGATGACCGCAGACGAGAATTGTGCTGGTTGTGTTGCAGCCTGTTGCTCTCGTCGGACGCGCTGCTGTTCAGCGAGGAACTGGAACCACCCATGGCCCCCTTCTCGCCGCCGCTCTGCTCCAGTCTCACTGGCGATGCATTTCGTTGTATCGTATCTTTGATTAAGTCCTTCGCGTAGCTGCCGCGGGCAAGCAAGAGGAAACGAAGAGATTAACACATCACACACGGAGTCGCTCGCGCTGATTGACGTAATCAATCAAATATCCATTAATTAAATAAATCTGAAACGTACTGAATCTTGTCCTCGGACGTTCCCGTGATTTGGACAAGTCGTTCTTTAGCTCCAGGGTTTACTACAAAGCAGAGATACGGTATCAACGATTCCGGGCCTTTCCCGTTATGCACGGTGATCGTGCGAGATCGCGTGACAGTCATCGTTAAGATCCTCCACACAAGTCCAGCGGCACGGTTAATGTGTTAAGAGTATCGCGTGTGACATTGAGTATTGTTATACGTGTGAGACATACTGCCAAGCGAGATAAGTTATAAGTATCCGTATTTAACGGTCATTGCTTGAAACTTGTCTCGGGGGGGATCGTCGATTGTGTTTTTCACTCGAATCACACGACGCATGGCGATATTGTATTTGCAAATGCGACTCGGCTGAAGAGCCCGCATCTGACTTGAAATTTACATCTGGATACTTGGTGTTCGACTGTGTGTCGAAAACATGAGAATTACAAAAATAGGTTAATTCGCTATGGATATTGACCGATGAAATGACATATATTCTAAGAAGTTCGCTTCATTCTTATAATTCTCACTACGTTTTGAGGCCCCCAGTCGATCCCCAAGTGAAATATCCAGATGTAAGTATAGAGTTAGATGCGAGTTCCTCAGCTAAATCGCATTTACGTTTTATGTAGTGTCGCACGTCACATGTGATTCGAGTGAAGAACTCGAACTCTAGTTTGAAATTCAGATCAGAATATCGCACAGATGGGACAAGTTTCAAATAACGACAGTCAACACGGGCCTGAGACACGGGCTGTTGAGAGAGAGAGAGAGAGACTCTCTCGAACGGAACTCGAGAACAAACGCCTCGAAATGTGTTACGTCATGAACAAACGAAAATGCAGATCGGAATATTAAATGCAAACTGCCTTCCGTTTCGCAGGGAGTGCGATCGACCGACCTGTTGCGCGTGAAAATCCGCGCAACGCTCGATCGAATTCTCTCGCGAAGCTGCAAATTGCCAACGCGCAACATTCGCACTCCGGGCTCACCGAAGAGACACATTCCCATACAACACAACTGGCAAAAAATGAAAAAAAAAAAAAAGAGAGAGAGAGACAATCGCAAATCGCACAAGACGCGGTCTCTTCGTTACGCCGAAAGAAAGCCAACGTGCTCCGGACTTCTCATTAATTAGAAGTAGATTCGTCGGAATAACCGGAAACGCTAAACTCTCGGGGGTGATTCAATTATCATATCGGTTAAACAGTACCGGTCATGCAAGTTAAAAGTGACAGAAAACGAGGAGAAAGGGTGGCTGTGTGACGACGGAACGCGCGCGCGTGTGTGTGTGTGTGTGTGTCGCATGGTGCGATGTTTTGCTGGGGCAACAACACACTCGACGTGATGAGAGATCTATCCGGGAGGATTCTGCGCTGCTTGATTATTCGCCTCGATTATTCGATGCTCCTCGAGCGACGTAAAAGCGAGGTATTAGCGAGGTGTACTTTCTTGGCAACAATGGGGCGCGCTCGGTTGTCCCGATCGGAATATTAATGTCGTTCTTGCGATGCATGAGCACACAATGCTGAGAGACAAGCCATGGGCGGATCATTTTTGCTTTACCTCGCTGGAAGGAGATGATCGTCTGGCTGAGCTCCTCTATCATGTGAACCCGCCGCCCTTTTATTCCCATCACTGTATTTCCGTGCAAATCATTTCTTTTTAACAGTGGACAAACACAACACAACGTGGACGGTCGGAAAGTCGCGGGGGTAAAAGAAAAGGAGAGAGTGTGTTCGAGACTCGCGAGAAACGCGATCGCGCGTTTTAAACGTATGAAAGAGACTCACGGGGCCCTTATTCTAAGCCAACTGCAAGGATTCTTGTAAATATCGCTCGCGAAACGAGAAGAGACATAGCGCGATCGATAATGGAACACACCGACTTGTAGAGTGAAATTACGACGCGACAATCGCGATCGGATCTAAATTACCTTTTCCCGAGTCGCTATTGCGAATGACGACTTCGTCTTTGCAATAGTTCTTGCCCGGTATGCGCGTGGGCTTCGCGAACTTGCCGCTATTCCTGATCACTTCACCGGGGCCTAGGATCGGCGCCGAGGTGGGCGAGGTCATTGCCAACAACGGGGACGACATTGGATTCGTGGGCGTGTCCGGTACCGTCTCGGTCTGCCGGTGAAAAGCGCTCGTCAGCGTCGCCGTCGTCTCGAGAAAGCAGCGGAACGCCGGAGTAGCGCGCCGCCAGTTTTTACCTACATTGTCCAGATGCGACAACTTTTGCATGTAGTACACGTCCATCGAATCTGTGTGACGCCATTGTTTCGCTCGCAGCTCTATTAGTTCCAGCAGATGAACCCTGGTCGTCAGATCTAATCTATCGTCCTGACTTCCATTCCTGATCGCCACAAAGGCTCTGTCCAGCTGATCTGAAGTGAACACGAGACGAGTGATCACTGCTCGGCTCTCATCGTAAATCGAACGTTTCTCGATTTACCGTACCATTTTCGTTATTATAATTACTACGTGGGGAGAAAGAATCAGCTCCCAAGGATAAAAATTAGCTGTCCATGTGATACAACTGAAATTTTCGTTGATCTTAGTTAACTTCTTCGTCCCTGTAACTCTTCTTAACTCCCACAGCTAAAAACTAGCTACCTAAATTTCAGTTGTATCATAAGGGTAACCAATTAAAGCAGGCATTGGATAACAAACGCGATCTCCAATCGCGAATAAAAGATGTAAAGTGATTCTTTTGCACAACTCGGTCACATGTTGCTGAGTCCGTGGAAAACAAGTTATTGGAATGGGACGTCTCACTCCACCCTGCATATTCTCGAGATATTGCATCATCTGATTATTGTTCCGATCGATGCAACATGCGCTTCAATATATACTTGCGAAACTTTCGAAGAAATAAAAAAATTCATCAACGAACGAATTGCTTCTAAAGTCTTTCTCCTACCGTGGAATCCACTTATTGCCGGAAAGATAGGAAAAGGTTGTGGCAAGCGGTGGAAAATATTTTGATCGAAATACAATGTACCGTTTTTCTTAAATAAATGCGTTTTTTAGCTGAAACAAACCCTTAAAATTAACCGAAATAACCCTAATATATTATTAATTATAATTGCTGAAAATAGTAGAGGATCGTACCTTTGTAAATAGCTTCTAATTGGCTGGCGTAGAGTTTCAGATGACTACACATAGAGATTACGTTCATTTGCAGCGTTCGGTCATGGAAGCCATTAGTCAGTTGCATCGCAACATTGTCGATTAAGGATACAATATCCTCTACTGGAAAATCAACAAAAAACAAGGGAATTGAGTGATCCCTGATGCAACTCAAACATGGACAATCTGACATGTTGACAGTTTCGCCGGAAACTTGTAACTGTGCTTGCTGTGAATTTCGCTCGAAACGACGGAATAAATCTACACCTACCAGTCGTGATCCGCCCATCGACGGTCGAGTTGCGCTGGCTGAGCTTAAGCGGCCGTGGTTTTTCGAGCTTCTTCACAGTCCTGGCTCTGTTGAGTTGTGCGGTAGCCATGATAATCCTGCAACAACAGTTAAAACGTGTCGTGCGAGTTCGATGTACTCGCCAATTACACTTATCACGACCCGAATATCTCCCGGCGGTGTTGACACACGTAACAATCGGAGCACAACGAATTCCCATCCGGCTCCCCCCGGCGGTCGTCGAGTTTCACGCTACATCACTGCCCTCGGATGAACTCATTTCTACTGTGTGACGTTTTGTCAAAGCGAGACGGGAGGAAGAGAAAGAGAGACGGCGGACGGAGAAAGCGGCGACGTCACTCGTTCCGGCGTTTTTGCTTGCGAAGTGCCCGCGGCGAATTATCTGGCCGAAGTTGTCGCGATTTCGATGAAAATCATTTGTACAGCATTTGTCGTCACACAACGCCGACGAGATCCGCTCGTGAACAGAGGGAGAGAGAGAGAGAGAGAGAACGCACGCACACACGTAGCACTGTGAAGTTGGACGAAGACTGCGCTAAGGAACAGTGGCGGGACCTTCGAATTTCTTGCCCCGCTCGCGGTCGAATTTAGCCTCGCCCCGTGGGAGACGAAAGGAATTCCCCGATTCCGGTCCACGATCTTCGGGATCCTCCGTTTCAGCGCCCGGCGGCTCCGTCACTGCGGGGGAGAGCGGCCGGGAGAAAGGGGAGAGCTGCGTAATTAGAGCGAGCGAGAGAGACGCACGGACGGAGCGATCGCGGAAAAAACGGGCGAATAACGCGAGGGGAGGGCTATTTATAAGGTAAACGTCGCGAAATGCGCGCGGACTGTTTCGCGGACGCGAGGATTACCGTGCGCGCGCGCGGGCGAAAATATTATTCGCTCACTTGACAAACAGACGCGCGTCTGCGTCGCGTCCGCGAGCAGGAAGCGGCGAGTCGAATAAAGACAACAGAGAGCCGCGGGAGAAAGGGGCGACGTCGGGGAGAAGGAGGCGGGCAAGGGAGGGAGGGAGAAAGCGACGGGGAGGAAGACGGGCGAAAAGGGGTGCAGAGGGGAGGAGGATAACGCGCTAATAACAGCGGAGAAATTATTTTCAACGCGTGTGTGTACATGCGGGGGACGCGCGAACAATCGCGGGAAGCGCAGAGGCGCGGGCGGACGACGTCGTCGTCGCGCGCGCTGCGACGACTCTTCCGCGGAATTCCAGATATGGAGAGATCCGGGCGGCTTTCCGCGCCGCGGAACCGCGACGGTGACGGCGCGTGTCGCGTCGGCGACGGACGGACGGGCCGGGTGCGCGCACTCGCCGCGGACGTACCTTTCGCGAAGTCCACCGCTTCGTCGGCCGTGCAACGGATCAACGACACGCAGATCGTCCGGTTGAGATCGCGAAGATGTGTCGTCGACATACGCCGCGAAGGTACATCCGAGTGCCTCGAAATCGGCCAGGGCCGGCAATGTGACGGGCGAATTCCCCTAGGCGCGCGGCGGCGCGAGGTTTGATTCGTCGGTCGATTCCATCCTGCGGAATATCGGGGGATACTTATTCCATCGAATCGGTTTCTTTCGAAATTCCACGGATTTGATCATCGAAACTCGTGAGTAATTCTTAATTCTGCCTTGTGACTTAATCGGGAATTTTGAGCTGGAAGTTCGGAAGAAATATTCGGAAATACACAGAATATTTCAGTGTTTCGTCCGAATTCTTCTGACGAACGTTCCAATTTGTATAAAAAGTGTAAAACATTGTGAGAAAATTTTAAAATTTTCATGAAGAAAACTTGAAGAAACGATATGAAAAAGCGGAGATATTTTTTCCACCAGGCCTCTTGCACCGGTGCAGAAAGTTCAGCTAAAGAGGACAGATCGCGTACTGCCGCAACCTAACCTAGTCGAGCCGCTGTTGAGTTTATTTATCTTCCAGATTTCACCGGGAGTTTCATTGGAGTAAAACGCAAGCGTACAGAGCAGGATGTCAATATTTGCCAGGCGGGTCCTCTCGTCGAACTGTAATTGTTTCATTTTCCTTCAATCGTTGAATTTTCCAGCATATATCACGCATTATATCCAAAGTGTATATCGTGCGTTTTACTGCTTACAGTTTTGAAGGAGTGCTTCCGACCTGTACGTCCTAATATATACCCTCGCCAATGTCAGCTGCTAACGACTCAGTCACAATCAAATGTGGAGGAAGTTGGTACGTAAGGGTTGTCGTTGCTTTCCATCAAGGAAGCACATAAGTCTAGTTATATCATCCTTTTCTTTTCCAAGTGCGGAATAAAAGCAAATGACTTTGTATAACTAGACTTGTGCCAATTTGTGTACCTTTTGCTAGAAGGCAACCCTTGTAATTTAAAGTTTGTTTTCTGTTCCTGAACTACAGTTGCACTAGAACTTTGTTCTTTTTCTCTTCAATGCTAAGTTATATACTTGTCTCAATCCAACGGTAAAAAATACAACCTAGTTCAGGAACAGAAAACAGATCTCTGATGTCACCTGGTCATCATCTACTTTGTTCAACATTCCAGAAAGCTCAGAGGCTACACTGGACCCATTGGCACATCCGGACTTCTTCCAAGTGCACACTCTGTTCACTGTGAAGGATCTGTACAATGCAAGGGTACACTACGGCCATAAGGATACCTCGATGCACAAGAACATGGAGACATTCATATTCGGCTCCAGAATGGGACACCTGATCATCGACCTGGACCAGACCGCCGAGCTGCTGCGACAAGCACTGAACTTCATCGCTCACGTCGCATTCAGAGGCGGCATCATCCTGTTCATCTCAAGGAATCCTCAGATCACCTATCTGGTGGACAAGACAGCCAAGGAATGCAATGAGTTCTCGCATACCAGATACTGGAGGATGGGCATATTCACGAATTCCACGAAGCAGTTCAAAACTATGACCAGGTTACCTGATCTCTGTATCTTTCTCAATACCTTCGACACCTCCACGTCCGAACACCTGGCGGTGATGCACTCCGCGAAGATGGGCATACCCAGCGTGGGTGTGGTCGACACGAATTGCAACCCGAATCTTATATCATACCCAATACCCGGAAATGACGACTCCCTGTGCGCCATCGAGCTCTATTGCTCGCTTTTCAAAGAGGCTGTTCTCAGAGGTAAGAAGGCGAGGGAGCAGGTGACGAAACTCATGGATTCGGAGTGAGTAGATCCAGTGTAATTAATTCAGCTAAGTGAATATTGTGTACAGTGCAACTGATGGAAATACACCATCTTTCTCTGGGCCCAGAGTAAGATTGAGTAAAACCTCAAACGAATGTCTCAGTACTTTATTTTATTCGTCTTGCTTTATGTATGTAACATATGTATGTATGAAAAAATATCCTTGTACATTAGGCGTCATCTGTGAGCCTCTTGGGAAGCTGATCAAGTTCACAGTTTCAAATTAAAAACTCTTAAATTTATAAATTAAATTTAAATTTCTAAATTTAAATCACTCAGGTGTAACGTTTTGTTAATTTCGAGGAACTGAGAGCTGATAGTGTGTGCTCTGTTCCTGAAATTAAGAAAGCTACCAGGAATGAAATCGATCGGTTTGGTCACCGAGGAGCTCGTATACATCTTAGCATTGTAACTAGATTCATCTGCGTGGTCTCCAACCTCGCATATAAAGCGTAAAGCTGAAGATCACAGAGGAAAACCCCCGGCGAATATCGGTCTAAGGAGGATTTACTCAATAAATTATTCCGTTACAATAACAATAAATAAATGTTGAGACATATATGACGTGTAACGTACATCATCGAACGATTCAATTATACGTGATAGAAAAAACGCGACTACAATACAATCATTTCTCCTTGCTGTCTTTTTCGATGGTGGCGCCAGTACTTGCGTTCTTAGCGTCTCGTACCTTCATCAGGTACTTCGGACCTAAGCTTCTCAACAACCTATATGAGGAAAACGCAAAATCTGATTAGCAAGGTGGTAATACGGCGATACGAAATACGGCTAGGATTGAGTAGAATAATATTTACTTTAAAAAATAAATGTTAAACTAATATCGAATTAATTTATTAAAGATTAATTATGCAAAACCATGCACGTATATATGTGCTTCTTTGCATTATTAATCTATTAATTCGTAGATAATTAAATTTGCTAAATAAAGAGAAGGTAGTCTGTTGTAAGAAAGTGCCGAGTGTTTTGTGTTCAGAATTCCATACAAGAAAAAACCACTAGCGTTCAAAGAAACAAAAAAAATTCTGCTGGCATCGTTTTTAATTATTATTATTATTTTATATTGCAAGGAAACGGCCCGCAGTATGATTTTAATATTGATGAATTATTTAATTTATTTGGAAAAAGTTAATAAATTAAAGTTAACGCATTTTAAATTAACTAGTTTATACGTTAAAAGTTAACTCATTTAAGATTAACCAAGTAAAGTTAAAAGTTGTTAACTTTTTAACTCAACCTTCAACTGAATAGAGAGTTCTTACTCAACCCTGAATTGGCGAAATGTCACGTATGAAAGACGTACCATGGGAAAACGTTCGGGAAGCAGTACTGTGCGTATATGAGTCGCATCGCGGGTGTTTTGGCGATCCACACTTCATTCAGCTTATTCGCGATTGCAATGCCCATCAGTTCGGCGCAACGCTCCACGCTCACCTTGCTGTTGTCTACTACCGTTTTTATGCCGTATTTCTGAAAATTCCATCATTCGCTATCCGATCGACCACTAATTTGAATTATAATTACAACTTATAATTATATTATAATTATAAGTTTAATTAAGTATTATTAATCACGGTGCATACTTCGCCGGGCGTGTCCGTGAAACATTCGGCTAGGAAATTGGTCTGCACTGGACCCGGACAGACTATCGTGATGTTGATGTTTTTATCGCTATGCTCCATCAGCAATGAGTTAAAGTAACCCTGCGAATAATTGGCATGAAGTAAGTTTACGTAATGTTTAACCCATTTGCATCCGTAATATTATCTGGAAAAAGTTAAATAAATTAAAGTTAATGCATTTTAAATTAACTAGTTTATACGTTAAAAGTTAACTCATTTAAGATTAACCAATTAAAGTTAAAAGTTGTTAATGAGCGCGGTGATACGGACCAACCGTCAGTTGAACGCCGCTGATGTCTGAACACAGAAACTTAAGTAGATTCATGATGCAAATGAGTTAAAGGGAAAAAAAATAAGATAATAACAAATCAAGATAAATGTCTATTGCTTAAGTAACTCGTCTGTCTAACAGTTTGGTAAATACAATGTGTCTCATTTTAATGGAAACAGTGGAATATCTTGAAGACGAAACAAACAAAAGTTGTAGGGCTTGGAGGGAAACATAAGTTGGTGATCTTAACTTCGTTGTCCAGTCAATGATTTAAGGATGTCATCGTATGAATACTTGATGAAACATTTTTTATCTTGTACTGAAAAATATCGAAATAAAAAGTAAAAGATCATCGAAAAGTATTCGTTTTTTGATGATCTTACTTTTATAAACAGAATAAATAGGGAAATCGATTTATATGAAAAAGCTATATATTCCATTAAAAGAAAAAAAAAGAGAAAGTTGACCTTGAAGTAATCTCGAATTATTGATTATATAACGGAGTTAAAGTTACCAACTTATCTCCCCCTTCAGACTTTACGACTTTTATCTGAACCATATCTTTGTCAATTGTTTCAATTTCAAGATATCCTATTGTTTTCGCTAAAATGGAACATCTTGTATGTATCAAGCCATCTGAATAAATAATTCTCAGGCATCCTATCGTTTACCAAGATAAGAAAAACTTAGCGAGAGTCGGTTTTCAGGCTTACACTCCGAGCGACATAGCGCAATTGAGAGTAACTGAATCAACATTAATATACGGACAATAATTATTGTTAATTATAATAATATTATTATAATAATCGTGAGGGGAGATTGTACTTTCTCATATTTCTCGCAGAAAGTTTGGTATCCTTGATTGCCTTGTACGGTGATTTACAAAGATACGTATGAACAATAACGAGAAATTATTCGTCGTGTTTGTCGCGCGATTGCGAAGCGTAACATATATTAAAAAATATTTACGTGTAACGCGTGCTTGGCGCCGCAATAAGACGCTGACAACGGTATCGGTAGGATCCCTGCGATGCTCGAGGTGACGACGAGATGACCCTGGCCCATTTGTAAAAAGTGTTTGACCGCCATCCTGCTCAACGACAGTACAGAGAAAACGTCCAGCTCGAACATGTCTCTATCGACGTTGACCTCGATATTCTCCCATTTCGCTCTTTGGCTGCGACCGGCATTATTGACCAGGATATCCAACTGAAAGCACGAGTTCAATGTGCAGAATAAGATCACGCTCTAAAGTCCAACAATAATCATTAGTCTTTATCGCAAGAGTTATTTTATGATCAGGAATCGCGGTGATTAATTCTTTAATTTAAAAAGTCCACTCGAGGAGAACACAGAAGTACCTGGCCGAATTTGTCGATTACGTGTTGAAATGCCTCCTTGTGCAGGTTAAAATTAAGCATATCCAGAGGATACACTTCCACGTCGTCGTCGCTTAGGTTTTTGTTTACTGAAAATAATGAATGTTCGCGTTTAAAAATAGATGGGAAACAAAATAATGAGGATATGAATAGGCTTGTTGAATTCTTGATGAGTTTCGCGACGCATTTTTCCCACTTCAACGCCTGCTTATCGCAGAACAATTAATGTTAAGAGATATCAAAGACTCGCTTAGACCATATTTGAAAATTTCCTTTTTATGTACATAATGTCCATAATGTACATAAATTTACGTAAGTATTTACGTAAATTTACGCCACGCATGGTAGCCTTTCTAATTAATAACCAAGAAATTCCATAAATAACCACGTAAAGTCTATAATGTACATAAATTTACGTAAACCTTGAACATATGATAATGTAATCTTTTTTTATATAGGATGTTCCAGATCAAGATGGATAAACTTAGTGAAGGCGTAGAATTGAGATGAATAAAGAAGTCCTGTATTTCTATTTTGCAAATACCACGCAAAATTTTGAATTATTAATTATTGAATATCGCCACGCATGGTAGCCTTTCTAATTAATAACCAAGAAATTTGCGTGTTATTTGCAAAATGGTATAGGACTTTTCTGCTCAGTTTAACCCGTTCTTTCATATGAGCGATTGGATAAAAGTTTTGGACACCTTGTGTGTATGTGTGTGTATGTGTGTGCAAAATACGCAAATTTCTTAGTTATTAATTAAAAAAGCTTCCATGCATGGCGATATTCAATAATTAATAACTCGAAATTTTGTGTAGTGTTTGCAAAATAGGGATACAGGACTTCTTTATTCATCTCAATTCGTTCTACGCCCTCACTAAGTTTGTTCATGTCGATTTGGAACATCTTATATAAAAAAAGATTACATTATCATACTTAAGTATGATTTACGTAAATTTTATGTATATATGTATATATGCACGCGGTACTTTCCTCTTCAAACTTCCAAACATGTCCAGTAAGCGGAGTAGAAGTGGAAAAAGATTATCTTTTGCCTTGACATTTTGCCACCCGTTATCATGCATGCGTGATTACATTCTGCCAGCGGTTTTCACTTTGTAGAGAAATACTTCTCGATGAAAAGATTATAATTATGATATCCCTATCAGTTACAGTTATTTCGCATTCGATAATGCAAATGTTATACAAAAGTATTAGGTTGGTGCGTATGAAATGTCGCATTCTCTTTACATGCGGACGTTTTCCTCCCTGTTTTCGTTATACTTTTGTATTTGGCATAACCTCATTCATACTCGTATTGTCCATTGCCAGAGACTCATTTCAACAAAATAGGTTTTCTCGAAGGTCTTCCCTTTTTTATTTCTTTTGAGTTTATTACCGATATGAATTCTGCCGACATTCGCGTCATTTTCTTATATGAGTACAAACTTGGTAATAGTGCTGCAAAAGCTGCACGCAACATAAACCAAGCGTTTGGGGAGAATACGGTTAACAATCGGAAAGTGCAGCGTTGGTTCGAAAAATTTCGGACTGGCGATTTTTCACTGCAAAATGAGCCGCGCGGAAGACCCAAAACGTCTGTGAATAATGATGACCTGAAGGCTCTAGTGGAAGCGGATCCAGCCGTATCCACGAGGGAACTTGCTATCAGGATGAAAGTTGACCATACAACGATATTGAGACACCAAATTGTACTCCCATCGCTTGTGAATCGGCATGGCCCGCTACTGCTCCATGACAACGCTCGGCCGCACACATCGCACAAAACAATTGCGAAACTGAACGAACTGGAATATGAAGTTTTGCAGCATCCACCATATTCACCGGATCTCTCGCCGACCGATTTTCATTTTTTCAAGCATTTAGAGCTGTTTTTAAGAGGCAAACACCATGAAAATGAAGACAGTCTAAAAAACTCGATATCAGAGTTTATTAATTCTAAAGACCAAAATTTTTTTAAGACAGGCATCTACGCTTTAAAATCTCGTTGGGAGAAGTGTATTGAAGCGAATGGAGCATACTTTGATTGAATAAACAGCTTTTGAAGAAAGATATACAGTTTTATACAATCACTTAAGAATCCGACATTTCATATGCACCAACCTAATATATAACTGTATTTACATTTACGAAATTATAACATAGATGTAAACTTTCTCCACTCCGGCTACTGAGCTACACGTTCTGAAGTTTATCGGGAGGAAAATGTCGCGCGCATTCCGCCGCTGACTATATACACGCTCAGTAACTAGGAAAAAAGCAGAGAAAAATAAAATACGACGTTTGTACATCTTTTTCGACTTCTTTTCGACGTTGATATCTTGCGTTCAACGATCGAACACGAAGAACACAAGTCGTCTGTTTTGTCATTCCGCTAATTCTTATGTTGTCTCATCTTACTCTGCAAGCACTTCTTCTTCACGCGCTCCAATTCGGCGATTCTGCGGGCGGACAGGATCAATTTACATCCCACTTCGGCCAACACGTACGCCAACTCCTCGCCGATACCGCTGGACGCGCCGGTGATCCATACTTTCTTGCCCTTCAAATCAGCTGTAGCAACAACACGAAAGCAATGTCAGAACGGTTCAAATCGTCATTTAAACGCATGCGCGGCGTAGAAAGAATTTCTCCCTCCTCGCCGGCTGTGGCCGGTTTAAAAATAGCCGAGCGATACTCACAGACGGGTCTGCCGAACTTTTCCTTCAAGGCGAGCTCTACGTTGCAGTCCAGGACGAAAGCGCAAACAACGTAGACGAAATAATAGGCTAGAACTAACAGACCGATAATTGAAAGTGCGTCCATATCTAATCGGGCACCTTGCAATCAAGTCTGCAAACAAGAAACGACAGAAATAGAAGAGATCGTTGCTGCCATGCCGGCAGTTCGCGCGTATTTACGCGATATTTTCTCAAAAAGATGTGACGGGTCGCGATCTAACGCATAATCGAGCGCGTTGGAAGGTGCATATACCGCAAAGGAACGATAAGTTTAAAAGGTTCTTATATTATACAAACAGAGGGACAAAAGGCAAGAACCGAGTATGAATCGCTGATTCACAGACGCAATAACAATTTAACCCTTTGACTGCTATCTGCTCTAAGTTGAAGCGCTTCGCGTAAGCGGCCGGCAGTAGCGATCGCTGGGGACTGAATACTTTTGCGCGCAATACGGATCTTATCGGCAGCGTATTAACACATTATAATATAGTACACAATCCAATTGCTATTACTTTGTCCACTGCAAAATGAATCCAATCATTTTTTATTTTCAATATATGTTGTTTATTCACCAATAGTAAAGTTTTAAAACGCCATAATTTGATAGTTATAATGTATGTGTTTGGATATTGGAAATTGAAAAATTGAACAAATAATAAGTAAGTAACATAAATACTCTATATATAAACGAAAGACATGAGACAGCAGTAAACAGCCAAAGTCTTCGCCGAGCGCGCATTTGCGTCCATCGATGTCTACATCGATGGCTTGCGCTGGACGCATATATGCGCCCATAGGCCCCACACCGATGGTTTTCGCTGGACGCATATATGCGCCCATAACAGTCAAAGGGTTAATGTGATAATATGTATAAATCGATTAACGTAATGTCTTCTCAGTTCTCACCGTTCAGCGTAAAAAATTACAATCAAAAGAATTAATCGAACAATAACATATCGGCAAAAACTATAATGAGACGATGGACAAAGGTTGCAATTCAATCGGACGCTTTACAACTGCAGTGTGCCAATTTCAGCCAATATCAAACTAAAGCTACAAAGAAGCAGGTGCTCACGAAAAATGCAAAATGAACAGTCGGTTCTTTGTTAAAATATCTGTTCCCTTTAAAAGATTAAATAATATTGAGTTTAAGGCTCCGGAATAGTCGCTATCCTTGTTTAATGACGTCAGAAGCGAGGAGATAGGTGCCAAGGTTTTTCGCGTGATACTTTCAAATAAAAAGATATATTCACAAAATAATGACATTTAGTCATAAGTAGTGAAATTAACATTGACAAAATCACGGGAAGAAAGGTTCCATGTCGAATTAATTTTGCGATTGTTTATCAATTGTTCGAGTAACAGTGAAGTGTTCGTCCGATTTTACAAGTTTGCCGAATCAATCACAAACGTCATTACGAGGACTACTCCGGAGCCTTAAGAGTAAATTATCCAATAGTAAAAAGAAAGGATTCATCATACAGATATAAATTCTCAAGATCTGGCACCAACAACGAGACCGGCGAATGTGATGTATGATACTGTTGGCTCAGCTGATATAACAATACAGACGACAATGTTTGTCTGAATTGATATACGAGTACATAAATGTCAGACGCAAGGATAGGGAGAAGTTTACATTATAATACGATCCATTAAATTCAAACATGGAGAACCCTCTCGACAACAATAGTATAATCCTTACTAAATAATATTGAGTTTAAGGCTCCGGAATAGTCGCTATCCTTGTTTAATGACGTCAGAAGCGAGGAGATAGGTGCCAAGGTTTTTCGCGTGATACTTTCAAATAAAAAGATATATTCACAAAATAATGACATTTAGTCATAAGTAGTGAAATTAACATTGACAAAATCACGGGAAGAAAGGTTCCATGTCGAATTAATTTTGCGATTGTTTATCAATTGTTCGAGTAACAGTGAAGTGTTCGTCCGATTTTACAAGTTTGCCGAATCAATCACAAACGTCATTACGAGGACTACTCCGGAGCCTTAAGAGTAAATTATCCAATAGTAAAAAGAAAGGATTCATCATACAGATATAAATTCTCAAGATCTGGCACCAACAACGAGACCGGCGAATGTGATGTATGATACTGTTGGCTCAGCTGATATAACAATACAGACGACAATGTTTGTCTGAATTGATATACGAGTACATAAATGTCAGACGCAAGGATAGGGAGAAGTTTACATTATAATACGATCCATTAAATTCAAACATGGAGAACCCTCTCGACAACAATAGTATAATCCTTACTAAATAATATTGAGTTTAAGGCTCCGGAATAGTCGCTATCCTTGTTTAATGACGTCAGAAGCGAGGAGATAGGTGCCAAGGTTTTTCGCGTGATACTTTCAAATAAAAAAATATATTCACAAAATAATGACATTTAGTCATAAGTAGTGAAATTAACATTGACAAAATCACGGGAAGAAAGGTTCCATGTCGAATTAATTTTGCGATTGTTTATCAATTGTTCGAGTAACAGTGAAGTGTTCGTCCGATTTTACAAGTTTGCCGAATCAATCACAAACGTCATTACGAGGACTACTCCGGAGCCTTAAGAGTAAATTATCCAATAGTAAAAAGAAAGGATTCATCATACAGATATAAATTCTCAAGATCTGGCACCAACAACGAGACCGGCGAATGTGATGTATGATACTGTTGGCTCAGCTGATATAACAATACAGACGACAATGTTTGTCTGAATTGATATACGAGTACATAAATGTCAGACGCAAGGATAGGGAGAAGTTTACATTATAATACGATCCATTAAATTCAAACATGGAGAACCCTCTCGACAACAATAGTATAATCCTTACTAAATAATATTGAGTTTAAGGCTCCGGAATAGTCGCTATCCTTGTTTAATGACGTCAGAAGCGAGGAGATAGGTGCCAAGGTTTTTCGCGTGATACTTTCAAATAAAAAGATATATTCACAAAATAATGACATTTAGTCATAAGTAGTGAAATTAACATTGACAAAATCACGGGAAGAAAGGTTCCATGTCGAATTAATTTTGCGATTGTTTATCAATTGTTCGAGTAACAGTGAAGTGTTCGTCCGATTTTACAAGTTTGCCGAATCAATCACAAACGTCATTACGAGGACTACTCCGGAGCCTTAAGAGTAAATTATCCAATAGTAAAAAGAAAGGATTCATCATACAGATATAAATTCTCAAGATCTGGCACCAACAACGAGACCGGCGAATGTGATGTATGATACTGTTGGCTCAGCTGATATAACAATACAGACGACAATGTTTGTCTGAATTGATATACGAGTACATAAATGTCAGACGCAAGGATAGGGAGAAGTTTACATTATAATACGATCCATTAAATTCAAACATGGAGAACCCTCTCGACAACAATAGTATAATCCTTACTAAATAATATTGAGTTTAAGGCTCCGGAATAGTCGCTATCCTTGTTTAATGACGTCAGAAGCGAGGAGATAGGTGCCAAGGTTTTTCGCGTGATACTTTCAAATAAAAAAATATATTCACAAAATAATGACATTTAGTCATAAGTAGTGAAATTAACATTGACAAAATCACGGGAAGAAAGGTTCCATGTCGAATTAATTTTGCGATTGTTTATCAATTGTTCGAGTAACAGTGAAGTGTTCGTCCGATTTTACAAGTTTGCCGAATCAATCACAAACGTCATTACGAGGACTACTCCGGAGCCTTAAGAGTAAATTATCCAATAGTAAAAAGAAAGGATTCATCATACAGATATAAATTCTCAAGATCTGGCACCAACAACGAGACCGGCGAATGTGATGTATGATACTGTTGGCTCAGCTGATATAACAATACAGACGACAATGTTTGTCTGAATTGATATACGAGTACATAAATGTCAGACGCAAGGATAGGGAGAAGTTTACATTATAATACGATCCATTAAATTCAAACATGGAGAACCCTCTCGACAACAATAGTATAATCCTTACTAAATAATATTGAGTTTAAGGCTCCGGAATAGTCGCTATCCTTGTTTAATGACGTCAGAAGCGAGGAGATAGGTGCCAAGGTTTTTCGCGTGATACTTTCAAATAAAAAGATATATTCACAAAATAATGACATTTAGTCATAAGTAGTGAAATTAACATTGACAAAATCACGGGAAGAAAGGTTCCATGTCGAATTAATTTTGCGATTGTTTATCAATTGTTCGAGTAACAGTGAAGTGTTCGTCCGATTTTACAAGTTTGCCGAATCAATCACAAACGTCATTACGAGGACTACTCCGGAGCCTTAAGAGTAAATTATCCAATAGTAAAAAGAAAGGATTCATCATACAGATATAAATTCTCAAGATCTGGCACCAACAACGAGACCGGCGAATGTGATGTATGATACTGTTGGCTCAGCTGATATAACAATACAGACGACAATGTTTGTCTGAATTGATATACGAGTACATAAATGTCAGACGCAAGGATAGGGAGAAGTTTACATTATAATACGATCCATTAAATTCAAACATGGAGAACCCTCTCGACAACAATAGTATAATCCTTACTAAATAATATTGAGTTTAAGGCTCCGGAATAGTCGCTATCCTTGTTTAATGACGTCAGAAGCGAGGAGATAGGTGCCAAGGTTTTTCGCGTGATACTTTCAAATAAAAAAATATATTCACAAAATAATGACATTTAGTCATAAGTAGTGAAATTAACATTGACAAAATCACGGGAAGAAAGGTTCCATGTCGAATTAATTTTGCGATTGTTTATCAATTGTTCGAGTAACAGTGAAGTGTTCGTCCGATTTTACAAGTTTGCCGAATCAATCACAAACGTCATTACGAGGACTACTCCGGAGCCTTAAGAGTAAATTATCCAGTAGTAAAAAGAAAGGATTCATCATTCAGATATAAATTCTCAAGATCTGGCACCAACAACGAGACCGGCGAATGTGATGTATGATACTGTTGGCTCAGCTGATATCATAAGCCTGATATAAGCCCGGTATCATTTTTCCAGTAAGCAAGAAATTGTTAAAACAACAACTATCGCAACGATATTTTATAACATGCAACGTTTTACAACTATGTAGTTCTTAATATTGTATACAACGTTACTGTTAACAATATTTGACCGAAACGTTAAAAATAATGTTTCTGCACTATAATTTTAATATTAAAAAATATAATGTTATCAAGTAACCAGTTGAAAAACATTTATAAAATATTATGTCAAAGTGTTTATAAAATCCATATAAAATCAAGGTTTCCAAAGATTAATTTAGTGTTTCTTGTTTACTGGGCTGCAAATGAAAACTATTGCGTTGACCGATGATAAAGAACATTTCAAATACATATAATTTTAAATACGATTTTTCCGATTGTCTCGATCAAGTGTACTGGGAGCGTTTATCGATTTATATGTATTATCACATTGAATTATTGTTACGCTCGTAAACTGGTGATTATTTCTTACTTGTCTCTTCGTTCCTCTAGCTGGCAAATGCCACTCCTTGCGTGTGCCGCCGGCGCTTATGCGACTCTTCCCACTCGCTCGTTGTTCAAATTATCCAAACTGGTAACTATCTACTACGCTTCTACTGCGCTTTCCGAACGTCACCTTACGAAATCCCCGGCAATAATAGCATTTCCATTCCCGCTGGAATTCCAGCGCCCCCCCGACTGGTGAGCGGACCTCGCCGAGGGATTATTAACTCGACCCGAGAGGTCCCGAGTCCGGTTACGACACACTGTGAATCAGGTTTATATTATATCGGTTCACACACCGTGAAGCTAGAAGTTCGTGATCAGTGTGAGAGATTCGCTAGTCGTCGTCGCTCGGCTCGACTCGGTCGGCTTCACAAGCTCTACGAAAGTACAACGCGACCGACGTGAAGGATCGAGACGAACAAGCGGCAGAATATTTATATCGCGCAACACATGCGCACGTGCACACACACACACACACATACAACGCTATCCGCTGAGTCGGCCGGAAGGGATATTTTCGATTTAACTACCGCACAAAGACGCGGGTTGTTTTCTCTCAGTGAGGTGTAATTTTTCACCTGGTTAACTCGAGGTTTAGACTTAACCCTGATGATAATGTAAGGAGTGTTTTTTTTTTATTTATGGTTCATCTTACTGAACTTAAAAGTTGCTACACTACAAAATCACCAATTTAATGATTAAACATGAACAGAAGAACACAATTTCTGCATTATCATCATTTATGTCAAAACCATCAAGTTAATCGGAAAATGAAAAGCCTAAGAGACATCAGTCAATACACAAGTTTAGTTATATCGTCCGTTCCTTATTGAATGCGAAACAAGAACGAATGAAAGTATAACCGACTTGCGAACTTCTTATTGGATAGTAACCAGTGTGTGCCTCGGCCCGAAGGTCTCAGTTTCATTCCATTTAAAGCTCGAATCGAGAACTGGTTTCTTTCACAGGAAACACCTCTGACACGCTCCTTCCAGTTAGCCGTCGTAAACTGTTCCGAACGAGTGTCTAAAGAAGGAGATTTGCGTCTGACGTTGACACAAGCTGTGATTCGAGCGCTACAAGGTGTTGATAATCAACAGCTGTCTTCGCGCATAATGTGGCGCCTGACGACATCGACCCGCGACTGAGAAGCGGGTTCGAAGTGGCGACGACATTGGCAGGGAATTGTGAAGCACCCTGTAAACCATTACGCGTGCGCGACTCTTTTGCCCTGCGCCGACTCTCATCGCGTATGGTTTTCAGTAACAAAACTGGCAACTTGTGGTTACGTAAACGTTGCAAATATTATTTAAGTGGGTGCAAATTTTTACAAATGAGTGGTTGTATTTTCATTCGAACAAAACGTGCATTTCTAAGCAGCATGTAAATGTTCGAGAAATGTTCGCTCTCTTGGTTTGATTATATTCAAACAAAGTAAGAACGTCGAAGAACATATTTTAGAGTTTCGAACGTTTTAGAACCCCTAACCTTTTAGGTACGGCTGAATTCTGCGCGAAGCTATTTCCCTGGACTGCAGAGCAAGTTTTAAAAAAAATTTTCTATTTGAAACGATATAGCACTGTCCGTCAGGCATTGCAGTGCTGTATCTCTTTCCTCCAACCGATCAGAATCGAACGCGAATGTTATGCATGTATGCAAACCCAAGCAGCACGTATAGGTTCGGGGAATGTTCTATGAACTTTTGTTTGGTTCGCTGTAGGGTATAAAGACTAACTTAAAATGATTCAAGCATATAAATAATCAAACGGACGTGTTATTAACTTATAAATAAATATAATAATCGAGATATATTAAAATTGTTAAAAATAATTGAGACGACAAGATATCTTTTAGCAATTAATATATTTTTTTAATAATTTGTTATAAATAGAATATAAACAGTTATAATTTGTTATAATCAAACTTCAAGATGTATATATTTTAATTAAAAAATGGAATTGTAACAGAGCAGCATAATTGTGATACTGCGAAATTTTTGCTACGTAAGATATATATTAACCTTTTAGGTACGACACGCCACTATAGTGGCTTTCGCGGATATCATCTTTCAGGACGACACGCCACTATAGTGGCTTATTCAAAAAATTTATTTTTGAAACGATACAGCACTGCAATGCCTGACGGACAGTGCTATATCGTTTCAAATAGAAAATTTTTTTTAAAACTTGCTCTGCAGTCCAGGGAAATAGCTTCGCGCAGAATTCAGCCGTACCTAAAAGGTTAGGGGTTCTAAAACGTTCGAAACTCTAAAATATGTTCTTCGACGTTCTTACTTTGTTTGAATATAATCAAACCAAGAGAGCGAACATTTCTCGAACATTTACATGCTGCTTAGAAATGCACGTTTTGTTCGAATGAAAATACAACCACTCATTTGTAAAAATTTGCACCCACTTAAATAATATTTGCAACGTTTACGTAACCACAAGTTGCCAGTTTTGTTACTGAAAACCATACGCGATCTCTCGTATCGCCTCGTTTGCCTTCAAATTCGTATGTTTATTTACAGTTCAGGTGTTTTTATTCAGTTTGAATATGCACCGGGCGAACGAACAGCGAATTCGTAATATGAATGCCTGTGTTCGCGTTTAAATACGTACAGTCGGTCACAGGAAGGTTGTAGATTTCTTTCTTTACATGTGGAACATACAAAAAATAAGACGAAGCGAACCTATGATTTACGAACATACGTAGTAAATAGTCAAAGAACTGTCAAAATTACATATACACACGTGATTTTGACATGTACATATCTAATTTTGACGAATGTATAAAGTTGGCAAATAGCTACAACAATTTTTTCCGCTGAGTTTCGCAACACGCCTCACATCCGATAAGGAAATATATATATTACCAGAGAATTATTAAAAAACAAATTTTCGTGTTGGATACGCAATGCGTTGCGAAATTCATTGAATAAATAGTGTTGCATCATCTATTTATCTGTCAACGTTGATAGATATAGTGTTGTATCTATTTATCTGTCGACTTTGTACAATCAGTCACAGGACGGTCGCAAGTTATTTTTTACATGTTTCGGAATTTCGGAATTCGAAAATGACTATACACGTGTAATTTTAACATGCATATATCTAATTTTGACAGTTGTCTGACCACCTATTGTGTATATTCGTGAATCTTAAATTCGCTTCGTCGTATTTTTTGTGTTCTGCAGTATGTAAGCAGAAGAACTGTTGCAACCTTCCTGTGACTGACTGTACAGCCCATAACGTTCTATTCGGATTCGTCGTGGCGTAAACATTTTCCAAATTGCAACGACGAAAATCTATATTCGCCGTTCGTTCCTCGTTTTTTCTTCCGTCTAGCGTGTTATCTACAACTTGATTTTTGCATAAATAGGCGGTTTTTCCGTTACGATACAAAATCATTAATGCTCACTATGGCACGGTTTCGGTTCGCACGATACCGTCACAAATATCTATCAACTTGACTTAAACAAAATTACGTCATATCTCATTTAAAAATTAAAATTATCCAAGGAAAAAGATATGTAGACATTTTATACTTAGGTATTTTTGCATATTTCAATGTTGGAACTCTTGCTGCTGTCTTTTATTACTTACGTAATGTGCTAAAACTTATTTTTCAATAGAACAATATACAGACACATGCACAAACACATATATGCTGACACGCATAAATCATGTACTTCAGACATCACCGTCCGTGAGTATTATATTACGTAATACACGTATGTACATCAATTCTATAACTTCAAGGTTCCGTACAACTGTGCGCTGTCTCTAATTGCTCTGTACACAAACGTCAAATGGCTCTTTAGCAGAACCTATCAGTTCATATATGACACATGGTTCACGCGCTTGTTTCGTGGGAGGACAAAACCAAGGTGAGGGCGATTATTCAGATAACAAATCGCTCGCGCATGGTTGGTCTCGCGGGCTTTTACCTCCTGGAGGCTCTTCTAATCCGTTGAAAGTACAAATATTCCTGAAACGAAACGGGAATTAGATGCGATTCGCAATACGAAGAACAAAAACACACTCGTGATGGAAAAGTACGGTCGCCAGCAAATAGGCAAATAAGAGGAGGTGCTTACTATCAGAAACGAGGCGCCCAAGAGCAGGCTTTTCACTTTCACGTCGGTGTCTATCGGAAACGTCAGCAGCAGTACGTAATCGACGCTCAAGTGGTCCCACTGGTGCATCAAGGACGCGAGTTGGCGCGATCCGTCCATCGATACAACCTGAGAAACCGAATTGAACGAGATGAACGGATACATAATTGTTTTAACAACAGGAGCGCTCACTCGATGGCAACTCTTGATTGTTCGTTGATAACATATTTAACAGTTGACTCGTTACTAGAGACACGCGAATTGTTCCAATCCGAATCGCTTTTTGATTCGATTCGACTTCGTTTTCGAATCTGAAAGGCTCGAATTCAAATTAGCCCCATTCTTTCGACTGTTTCATTTATATGGAGGAAAATGATAGAAATGAATATGAGTAATTAAAGTTAAAAACTAGTTTCTCAAAATTATTGTTTTTATTATTGACTAAATTATACGTGTAAGAGTGTTGTTTTGCTAATCTGGCGTGGTTCTGATCATGAAATGACACGTCATCGTAGACATATGCACGTTTGAAAACGTTACATAATTTATACAAAAAATACATGACTCATACAAAAAATACACGATATACGTATGTATCTATTAGTTTATAAACTCTGCACACCTCTAATATGTATTTATAAGTTTTCTAACATTTAGCACATCATTTTGCTTGTGATTGATGAGAGTTTTTTTCTAAACTATGCGGTGATTAATATTTTTGCTCGTTTACAAAGGTTTTTAATATCATTGAATGTACTTTATACACAAATATACACAAATTAGCGTGTAATGTAAATCCCGGCAAATAAATAAAAAATAATAAGTAAGTAAAACAATGTAAATAAGTAAGATCCGATTTGAATTAAAGAAATTTGATTCGATTCGACATGAAATTTTGCAGATTCGATTCGACTCGATTTGACGCAGATACTTGATTCGTATATCTCTACTCGTTACCTGAAATAACGCCTCCTTGTACATGCAGCAGCCGCAGATGTTGGGCCCGTGTATCTTGCAGAGCGGCGTTTTAGACGCGTCGTAGACCGTGAAGTGCGGCCCTATCACGCTAAAATTCTCCTCCACGCTGCCGATGAGATTCGCGCTCTCCACCGTGATTCTCTGCTCGACAGCACGTGTTTCGTATTAAACACTCGCCGATTCATCGTGCGTGAAGGAACATGAACGAAATGTGAACGAACTCACCCGTCGCGTCTCTTATTTCTATTTGGACGTACTATATTGGTAATAACCATGAGTAATCGCGCTTGTTCCGCTCGTTATGTACGTGCACGTGCACTCGCGCGAACTCTGCACGATGAGGGTGAGAAAAACGCATCTCTTTCGCGCAAATGGACATTCGTACAACAAAATGAAAGGAAATTACGAACTTAATTAATAATAACTTTATTCAAAGATGCGAAATATCGCAACTGCTCGTTTTAGAAAGGTTCACATGAATTCCGATTTTTTTTCTACACAAATTTTTGTCTTGTTTCGGTTAGTTCCTAGGGTTAGATGTATTATTGGATGAAGATTCAATTCAAAGAACTTGCAGAACAATTGGATATTGATCAAACCACTTTCTACGATCGTTTGAAAGTCTTACCCCACCCTATGTATTCTCCAGACATTGCATCATCGTTTGATTATTACTTGGTCCGATCAATGCAACATGTGCTTCGAGATACGCACTTTTGAAACCTTGGAGGAGTAAAAAAATTTGTCGATGAATGGATTGCTTCTAAAGATAAGTTTTTTTTTCTACCGTGGGATCCACTTATTGCCGAAGAGATGGGAAAAAGTTGTGGCAAGCGGTGGAAAATATTTCGATCGAAATACAATGTATCGTTTTTTTTTTTAATAAACGCGTTTTTGAGGCAAAACTTTTAAAATTAACCGAAACTCCTAATAGAAACGGATAGTTGATGGAATCATGAGATTCAGAAATGTTTTCTCAAAATGCGTATCGCCGGACGATATTGGTGGTTATCGACGTGTTAGCAGACGTCGATCGAGGGGATTGCGAATTATTAACACTTTAATTGCCAATCACGCGAGTTCTCACCAAACGGCCGATCACGCGTTATCGCGTAATAGATATTTAGAGTACATAAATCCTATGTATATAATAATAAAAGCGTATAAATAATATATTAACTTGTTTTGAGCACAATAATAATATATTAACTTGTTTTGAGCACAATATTAAATAATATATTAACTTGTTTTGAGCACAATAAAAACTAAATAAAAAAATAAAAAAAATGTGGCCACCACACAAAATTCCAATTTTCAGCTTGACAATGAACGTGTTAACGAGTTAACGAGGACTAATATTGCGACTGAACTCAACTTTCAGCTATTCCCAGTAAACACCAAGTAACAATAGCATTGTATCAATAATTTCCTATTCAACACAATGTGAGCGAAATATAGCATGCATTATATATATATAACATTGTTGAGTGGCAAATTATAACATTGTTGTAATGTTATTGTTAATGTTTACCGGGTTCTATTGAGCCAATCAAAGAGCTCGGTGTAATCTTCGAAAAGAGAAAAATCTTTGAGAGAAAAAACGACTTCGACCAAGTAATCGCCGTGAAAGTGCCGCTTTCGCAACGGCGCACAATGCACAAACATTATTAGCATTGTTGTCCGTATCACGTGTATGTGACGTCATCTATTGAAAATCGAACCGAAGCTGCTAACGGAGATCCGCTGGGTTACGTGACACTCGAAAGAAAAGAGAAGCCCGACGACTTTCCGTTCATTCGCGCGTAAACTTGCCTGTCGCGACCCGGGCATGTGCATCCAGCTCGGGTCCTTCCTGATGACGAACGCGGTCTCGCCGCATTGATCCAAGACGTTCAGCACGAAGCCCTTGTACCAGCCGAAGAGTCTCGACTTGGTTTCATCCTTCTTCTCCATGGCGAGGAAGAGCGACTCCGCTCGCGGCACTTTCACTCTGTACTGGTGTCCTCTGTCCACTCTGCCGAGCACTGCCCAGGAGGCGCAAAATCGTCGATTTAACGTCGCCGAGACGATATTCGATAATGTCTAACGTTTTTAATATGTATGTACCGAGTGAGGCAATAATTATTACCACATTGAATATCTTGGAACTATAAGCTCAGACAGTATAAAATGTCCTGAGATCATTTTGAATGTACTGAGGACATCCCAAGATATTCTTCAGGATATCTTGAATGACTTTGGGATTTCTTGTGATATCTGGAGAGTAGGAGAAAAATGAATATCATTTCGAGACTCATATTCTTATATAAGCAAGAATATATAATCTTATATGAAAATAAAGCTTGCTTATATACATATGAAAAAATTCTATATAGGTCTTCTAAAAATATTCTTATATTATTCAAAAGTAATTTTCATGGATTAAGAGGAAATATTATTGGATAGGAAGAAGAATATCTTCAAATTAAGAATTATATCAGTTGGAAGGTATCGTTCTTTCTAACTAGTATTTTTTTCTTTCAATTCATGAAAATTATTTTTGAATAACAAAAATATAATATTTTTAATGGACTTAGGTGGAATTTTTTTTATTTTAGCGAGGTTTATCTTCATGCAAGATCATATAGTCTTGAATTGATACTAATGTTTCTTCCATGCACAGAAATCGCGTTGTTACCGGTGGTTACTTTGAACACCTGTAAGTATAAACCTTTATCATCTTTTCAACCGTAAATAAAATATCTTTATTTTCCGAAAATATTTTAGATGGTAATAGTTATTGCCTCACCTTATGTACGAAAGCGTACATGTATATCTGAAAAATATATAGATAAGTGTAAGAAGTCAATTTAAAAAAATTAATTATAGATTAAATAAAACAAATATATATATTTTTTTTCTACTCTCTCCCTTCACCCCTTTTCTTCATACAAGACGGCGAGTCCGCGCGTCACGCGCTAAATACGTACGAGTACTCAAATCAATAACTTGCTGAATTTCCAACTGCTCGACGCCGGCGAGGAATTGCGTGCCGGTGATCGCGTTTAATTGCGACCTGGGGGTGGAGATCCAGTCCATGGTGTTCACGGGGATGGGTCTCCGAGGAGATCGGCTGTCACTTGCTGGAAAAATGACAGTTATTCGGTTGAATAAACAAAAGGCGAAGACCGTTTTTGACGATGAATCGTTATCGCCGTCGGCAATTTCACCGTCACCGCGGCGCGTTTGTGCCGTAACGTGACCTCGGGTTAGTTAAATCCTTTTGGAATGCGAAAGATTGAAATCGTGATATATCTTACTTTGCGACTCCTTCTCCGGCGTTGTCTTTTATTCGGAGAATTTCGCGACGATTTTCTCCGAAGATGTCGGCGCTTGTCCGGAAAAATGTCCGGACACTTTTCTCTTACCCGAACACAATCAATAAGTAGTCACAAAATTAACACTGGCAAAATCATGAGAAAAGAGATTAGAAAGGAAAGTTCCGTGTCAAGTTAATTTTTGTTTATTGATTATTCCAGTACAAGGAAAGTGTTAGAACCATTTTACAAGTATGCCGAATCTTATATACATATTATAATCCTTGGCATGCGTTTTCTCAATTCTGACGTCAGGAACCTTAAATCGCACTTATAAGCTACTTGAAATTTTTTTTTTCGAAAACATTCCTTTCTCTCCACCTTTTTGCAATCTGTTTCTTACAATAATAAGTTAATAAGTTTAATTTTTAAACCCAAATCACTTGACTTGATATTATAAACATCTTATTCAGACTCTGTACTTCCAATTCCCATTTTACTAGCTTGAAAATGTCAATTAGAATATAAATGACAAAGTCGAGCGGTCTCACGGACTGGAGTGAGATGAATTAAAGATTCGAAAATAAGTGGCTAAAGCTAAAGTTAAAAAAGAAACACTTATTCACAACCGGGTTGCACTATGCTATTGGCCTAATGTTATTATGATTATATTCAGACTTTGTACTTGCAATTCTTATCTTATAAACTCAAGAATATCAATTAGAATGTAAATGACAAAGTCGAGCGGTCTCATGACGCGTAAAAATAAATGTGGCTAGCTAAAGTTAAGAAAGAAACGTTTACTCACCTCCGGGTTGCATCGTGATGATCGTTGCGCTGGAGTAAAAGACCGGCGCGTTATCCTGCAGCTCCATCGTCTGCGTCACCGCGTCCGTCGTGTCTGAGGAAGGAATTCAGCAAAAAAAGAATCGCATTTACCACTTGACATTCAGGCGAGGAAATGTCGTGAGGCGATATCACTACTTTAAGACTTTTCCCCTTTTTATCAAGGTCTTTCTCTTTTTACCCGCCATGGCGTCTTCGTTCAGAAACGAACCGTGGACTTCGATGGGGTGGTTCCGCTCCATAATCGGCGCCGCTTCCGCGACCTGATCATGAGCAAGATGGACGTCCGTGGTCTCGTGAAAGGAGCAAACGTGGAGGGTTAAATTTATTTCCTCTCTTCTCGGCGATTCGCGCGATTTGGCTCGCTTTCGGCGCGCGAAAAATTCGCAGCCCTTGACAGAGGAGGAAGCGAGGAAACGTACGACGACAACACCGCACTGTCCAGCGACGTCTCTCGTTCACATTCAACGCTTGTCCATAACGCCTTAATTTTCGTCGTCTATCTCGCTATCGGTCGATAAATCGGCCGCTTATCGCTGCCGAGCGGATAAACGGTATCACACGCAGATATCTTTTTGTTCGCGCGCCGGACAAAGGCGCGCTGATCGGAGAAGTCATTGCGCGCAGATCGCCCGATCACTCGGCCAGCGCCGGAAAAGAAACCGCATTTTTCTTCCTCTTTCCCGGAAAATAGGCGAGATTATTTTTATATGTTTCTCCTCGTTGCTTCTGATAACGCAATAATATTGTTGTTGCGATTGACTATTAAAACGTGTGAACTCGCGATTTTTCGAAAACGTGGCACGTTCATGTGCACTTTGAGATTACAATCAAGATTCATGAGAAGTTACGACCGTATGATTTTCAACAGACATGCACGTATAAGTAAGTCCGGTAGGGGAGATTCGGACAAACTTTGTTTACGGTGATCTGCGCTCTCGAGGGGATCTTTCGTGCCAGAGCACTGAATAAATCATATTTTAAGGATAATAATAATAACACTAATAACAAATAAGCGTCATAGGACGACAACTCCGGTGTACAACGTGGAAAAATGTATTTGCATACCTCATCCTTTCTGGAATAAATTTACATGTAGAAGAGAAATATCGTCGCACTAGGCGACTCTCCATTGGAATACACCCGCCTTCGTTTATATACCAACGTATCGAACGAAAGATAAATTGAGGGAGAGAGAAAGAGAAGGGAGAAGAGAGGGAAGGAAGCACGTCGTAACGATATTTCTCGCACGGGATTATCCCAAAAGCGATGAGGCGTGCAGATATTTTTTTCCTTCGCTCGTTGCGTAACGCACATTTTACATATTTATCAGTTAGCGCTTATCACAGTAACATAATTAAATTTTGCGCTTTCGCTGTTTTATAATTTTCTCCTAGCGTTCCCTCATAAATATACAATCACACATAGAAAGTGCGAACGAATACGCGAAGGTGCGATCGCGTCCGACGGATAATTTTACGCGTGATTTTTTTCATTAATTTTTTAAAAATTTGGAAAAATGCATGCTCCGCGTTCGGAAAATCTCTCGTACGAGGCAGCGAAATATTCGGGGCAATTTTAAGCAGGCGTTCCGGATAACGAGCGTTTCGCAGAACATTTTTCATTCTCCCCGCTCTCCTCGCCGATTAATTTTCCTAATAAACGCGAGCAACACCGCCGAGTTTCTCCTACCTGCGGCGAATAGCTTCGCGCATCGCGATATTTCCGTTATCGCTGTGGTCGCGTTCCGCGCGTCCTGATAAGGCTCCCATCCTTTTATCTATTTATCTGAAGTTAAGGAGGTTCGTTCATTAAGTGCCGTATTTCCAGTGGTGCATCACGAGGGCGCGTCTCTCGTTAATTTATTACTTATTAGGCAAAATTACGGTTTCGTATGTTTGTTTCACTATCCGAATAATAAATATTGATTTGAAACGAAACTGAGGCGAATATACAGTGTCTCAGATCAGCATGGACAAAATTAAGGAGGCCGTAGGACGAAATGAGATAAACAAAAAATGTCTTGTGCCATTTTGCAAATAACACGCAAAGTTTTGAGTTATTAATTAAAGAAGCCTTTATACATGGCCATTTTCAATAATTAATGACTCGAAATTTTGCGTGGTTGTCTGCAAAATGGTACAGGACTTTTTCGTTCACTTTAGTCTGTTCTACGTTTTCACGAAGTTTGTTCCTGTTAATCTGGAACACCCTATATATACACAATATCACAAATATGAAAATATCATTTTTTTCTTTTTCTCATTATACTATATTTATGCAGCAGTTGGTCAAATAGAGACGCACAGATAATAGAAAAAAGTATATGAATATTTAAATATATGCATATATATATTTGTATCTCGAATATTACTATAAATTATATAAACTTTTCACTAATATATTTTCAAAACTTGTCTACATTGAAAATAATTGCTACGTTCAAGTAAATATTTACTAAGAAGTATTGGAGTAGTTTATTTGGATTAAACAAATATTACTTGAATGTAACACTTTTTTTCTTTCAGTGTGCTACATTAAAGTAATATTTACTTAATTCAAATAAAAGAAACTACTCTAATATTTCTTAACAAATATTTACTCACGTAACGTAATCATTTTCTTTACAAGTTTAAGTTTAAATATAAGTTTAATACAAGTTTAATTCAAAATTAAATATTTCGGAAACAATACGGTAAAAATTATTGAAATTTCTGTTACGCGTTGTTAGTCCGATAAACTTTTGTCATGCATATATTACAGGTTTATCTATTCAAAGGCTCGAACTTCCTTAACCCGGGAATAGTCACCTCATTTTTTCTTTTTTTACGTAAACGATCGCGAACACTTGATGTGCTTATTCCGTTTCTTAAATATTTTTTTGGCCTCTCCTCATTCTTTTTCACAAAAGTAGCGAATAAATCTATATTTATGATAACGTCCTTAAATAATAATAATAAATGATAGAGCAATCAATAGTATACTATATTTTGCTAATAATAGCTACTTTTAATTTGGATCTAAATAACCTCATGTAATTATTTCCGGCTTAAAGCGCGCTCAACGATGGACGTCATTCAATTTTGCAATTGCGTCATACATATTTTCGAATAGTTTCGTCTGAATTTCTCTTATTTTTCTTTTTATTATTATTCCCATCGAAATACACAGTGCGATTTCGACTGGGGGTGTTACGCGAGAGTATGTAGAATTTTCCGGCCTCTCTTTCTCTCTCTCTCTCTCTCTCGCCCTTCGCTGTTCTCCCCGCTATCTTTCTCTCTCCCTCCTTTTCCATCCGGCGGCACACCCCGTTGTCGCTTTTACTTGTTGCTGCCGCCGGGATAGTTCCATGCGCGATTCTATCGATCCGTCCTCTATCGCCCTATATAAAAGTCGCCGCCATTGGTGATCGCACGAGAACAGGACGGAGTCCCGTGCACGCGCAGGAATCGTCGTCGTCGACTGTGGTTCGTCGTTTTCACGGGTAAAGCAAACGCTCGCTGGGCACAACTCGTCCGAGGGACCGAGGGGGCGTCACGCGGATGAAAAATTGAAAAATCAGGTACGTCGCGCGCCCTGCCGAATTGCACCGTTAATTGATTAATCACCGGCGCTCGCGCTTTTATCGCGGGGCCGCGTCGATAATCGACCCCGTCACCAGCCGCGGGATGTCGTAATCGCGATATTGTGTGCTCCCCGTCGCTCCGGTACCGCTCCTGCATCGTCATCGACGTCGTCGCGGCTGTCGTTCGATCGATCGTGGGACAAATACGATCCGCGAAATTCGGCCGAGCCGTTTCGCGCCCGGACCCGGTGTACCATCTGTCAGCCACTGGCGACCGATGACCCTTTGTCGTTTTTGACTGTGACCTTGCTCGTTGATCATCTGGCGCCATCGAAATTTCATTAAGCCGATCGACGATCAGAAAGCCTCTCCGGACTGTTACGCCGTTTCACGTAAAGTAATAATTCGTTCGTCGACGGAAACTCGACTATGGGTGGCGTTCCACTTAACGCTCGCATCATTCTATCCTTGTTCCTCCAGGATGTTAAACAAAGACGGAACAATGCTCGCAATCGTTGCGAGCGTCAAGTAGAACCTGCTTTATGTATTGTCGACAGGTCTGTAAATATTTTTTCTTTCGGATAACGCGGCGGTTATCGATCCGAAAGCACAGTATATGATGTACCGCAACGTAACATATATTTGCGTTCTCTCAATGACTTCGTCTCGATACACGTTCGTCGTTTTAATCCGCGCAATCTTCTCCTTCTCCTTTTACTCATTTCTATTTCCAATTACGTTAAGTTTGAGGGATACTTGCGAATACCAGATTGTATTGCGAAGAGTCGTGCCGATGAGTCGTCCGCTGGTCCGTGTCGCCAATCTATGTCACAGTCGCGTTACGTCGTAGATTCCCTCGGTACGTCTTCATTCGCGCGGACTTCGCTATCCTGTTGACAAAATCGATATCGCCACGATACAGTGCAGCATGCAAAATAGATGGTGATCAATATACCTGTGTATATTTATAACGAGATACGCAACACGCCCGCGGGCGAAAAAGCCATCATCAGTCGTTCGGTCGTCTTCCTGCTTAATTCCACCTCGAGTGAGACGATCGATCCGGGTCTCTCTCTTTCTTTCTCTCTCTCTCTCTCTCTCTCTCTTTCTCTCTTTGTCACGAAGAAGAGCTTCTCTTCGGGACGAGGAGAGTGAACATTGTGATCCAATTAGCAAAAATCGTCCGAGGGCCGCGTAATATCAGCACTTCGACCTCGCCTCGCTTCGCGACCTGGTGCGACACTCTGCCGGAGAATAAATTTATGCAATCGACTCTTAGATTATACGCGTTTCACACGCAATCTCGCATGACCCTACGTCTTTCTCTTTCTCTCTCTTTCTCTCTCTCTCTGTCGGCCAGCTCGCGAGTATGGCATCGCAAGGATGGCTGTTGCCGCTGCTAGTGCTGGGCACCGGCGCGCTCGCGTTGATCCCCACCGCCCGACAGTCCAGCCAGGAGTCCCTGAGGAGCGCCTTGGACGCCGTCATACGGAAGCAGAGGTCCCTGGACGCGGTGGACTACAACGACCTCCACTCGTTCAAGTACCACGGCGGCGACGCCGACCGCAAGTTCGACCGGGACCTCGACGAGGAGGACGAGGAGATCGAGTTCTTACCAGGCGGTAAGGGCGAGACCCGCCGATCGGGGAACTCTTTAAAAACGGAAGAAGGAAGGAGCACCTCCCGTCTTGAGCTTCTTCGTGAACGACGCTTCTTCGAAAATAGAAAATAGAAAAATAGTCCGCTGACACAGCAAATTTTCTGCTGTATTGCAAAACAAAATCTGCGTCAGTTATCATTACGTGGACAGCAAAACGATTTGTTAAAAATACTAGTTGCTATTGTCTTGCTGAATTTACGAATTACTTTGATGTAAGAACGAATTATATAACAAAGTAAGTGTAGGAAAATGCTGTTCTATTTTAACAGTAATTTAAAGGTCTGGCTTATCGGTGTAAGATAATGTTTTATGCCTTAAGTCTTTAAGCAACGCACAACGACTGTCTTAAAACTAAGAAGCCGTTCTGTTTGTGACTGATGACAAACCATCGTATAATAAAAACAAAAAATAAACAAATGATAAATAAAGATTTAGGGCATAAAGCATTTGTCATAAAGTTATAAGTCAACCGTTCTCTCTAGGCAATGTGTCCTAAGGGCAAATTCACTCAGCAGAATATTTTCTATCACGGCAACAAAACGTTTCTGCCAAAATGATAAATAATCGGCTAATTTAGTGATGCCAATTAAATTTTATCGCTGTCGCAACGAAGTTTTAGCTACAACGAAAAAATTATTTTCTTTCGTGTATAATTAGTGAACAATTAACAATGGAACGCGGAAGCTAAACAATACACACTTGAGCGTAAGCGTAAAAGGCGATTTTAAGATTGTTTCGATATTTAAATCTTGAATTTTCTCAATTAATTACTTTGCCTCCTTCCCGGCCGTCGAGTCTTGGTCACTTTTATCGTGTCTCCCTCTTCTCGAGAGCTCTGAGAAATGATAAAGATCAAGAAACGAGGGTCACAGACGAGTCCAGATTTATTGCGGTTTCAGATAATGGCCAGTTGGAAACAGTGGGGGATGGCTTCCAAGGTCTGCACGACAAGTTACAAAGGGCGTTGTTCGATTACCTGGAGAGCGTGCCTGAGCAGGTGGGTCGATTTATTATTTAACAAGGAAAGCGGGCAGGGATGTACGCCACGGCCGATCTGTCAGTCGAATAGCGGCATTAGGACTCTCAATTTACGAACGACAGTGATCTCTTCAAGCGGGAGGTTGAAAAATTGGCGGTTCCGAACAGGAAGATCGCTGAAGTGCACGGTGTGCGATGTGTGCTTGCAGGAAGAGCCGGTGGCCTCGATCTTCCGCGAACGCGAGCGAAGCTCCAGCCGCAAACGCGGCGGCACCGGCGATCGGATGAACATCGACAACAAGGACCTGGCGAAACTGGTCTTGGGCAAATCGCTGGACGGTTTCCCATACGGTCTGAACGAGATGGAGGACGGCGACGATTATTTAACCGCTTTACAAACGCTTTCCGACAGATACAGAGCTGGTAGAGGGAACAAAGTATACGAGTAAGTCCGATTCACCCGATGCCGGGAGGTGTTCGTCCGACAGGTGATGTTAAAGACGGCGATAATGAGCTTCACTTCGAATCGTGCTTATTCTTATCTCTTAAAAATTCGAGTTTAACGCTAAAGTCATTGGGCATTTTTTTTAACGAGTTCACAAACAAGTAAACGGAGAAAGGATTTCTTTGGATTTAATCAAATTTCTTCTATTGAAACAAATTTGCCTCTTGGAATAGTGCAAACAAACGAATGTTTGATTCAACAAACAGGATTGTTTTTCTAAAACAATAAACAAATATTTTCATGTCAAATAACACATTTTTTTGTATTTTCATCTAAACATTACAACGTTTGTCACAAACAATAAATTGTTTGAAAGAGTAACACTGTGTTTGAAAAATAGTGAAAAACTTCGTTGTTTCGGTGGAACAGTATTTAATGTTTAATAAAACAAATTTTCTTTTATTTATTTTCTTTATTTTCTTTTATTATTGAAAACGAAATATTATATTTTCTCGAAATAATATAGTTTTTTCTATCAAGCAACACGGTTTACTTTAATGAAATAACGTTTTCATTCAAACAAAGTGATATTTGATATTAAATTATGTTGTTTACGTTAAATAAATCCAAGTTAGATAGATGCATATGCTAAATAAAACAAAGAAACCTTTTCCTCTATGTACATAAATATCGTGTTAATAACAGGAGCGAGTAATAACAGGACATTAAAGTAACATCATAAATGACGATATTATATTGCCAATTAAATTTCAATAATAAGTCGATAAGTACGTTAAGTTTTATATTAAATTATATTAATAATATAATGCACACAATATTACATCACATCTTAAAATATTACATAAAATAATTTAATGTAACACTTATTGTGATTAAAAAATACAGTTTGTAGCTTGGAGAGAGGAAAAATGTTCCGAAGTGAAAGTTGCTCTCTCAATTATTTAATTAATGAAAATGCTCGGTCTCAAAAACAAGCCGTTTTGCCGTAAACGAGCGGAGAAACGATGTGACGGAGGACGTTTGCCCGACAGAACTGCAGGACCAATGTCTTGGGGCGAGCTTCTGAGCAAGGGCTCGTCGATGAGGGGCCAGACGAGAGACGGCAGCGACAACGAATTCATGGGCCGCGACCAGGACCAGAGCATTTTGTACTTGACACCGGCTGAGCGCAGGAACGTCAACGGCAGATATCCGATCGGCCGCGAGTTCGGTGGCTATCGCAAGTTCTCCAAGCGCTATCCGGTCGCTAAGAGAAGCCCCAGACCTACTCAGACCAAGTTGAAGACCACCGACCCCAAGGTTGTTTTATTTACCCTCCACGACGATACGCACGAGTGAAAGCCAAAACGATACGACAAAAAAAGAGAGAGAGAGAGAAAGAGAGAAACGCGAAACTGTACCCGCGTCCGCATCGGAATCGAGAGCCATTGTCTAATAAAGTCACGTTGAGATAAAAAGGGCAACAATAAAATTCTATCCGTCTCGAGTCTCAAGCTCCGTAAAGCGATGTGGCTTGTGCGAAACGGCACTTAATTTTGCGCGATCGTCAGGCGGAAATTCGGTTCAATTATTAATTAATGATAATATCTCGACGTGTTAATCGGATGTGTTGCCAAATGGCAACGTTACTTGTCTGTCTACACTTATGATACCTCTGTTCATGTATATCTGTTTATAATATCCAATAAAATCTTTGGAAATGTGTACTCAGTGTTGTCGTGTGGCAACATATTACATCATATAACATCGTGCGAAATGGCTACCGAGGTCGAAGAGTTCGCGTCGACAAAATTGTCGTCCCGGCAAATCGACGATCGAAAATCAAACGGTTCTGGCTGATAACTGATACATCCGTGAACAATTATTTCGAAACAAGCGTCGCCTGAATCAATAACGCGAAATCGATCAGAGACACGATTCGTCACCCAAGTCGCGCGGTCAACGTGCAAAAATTAGGTCTCGCCGCTTCAGTAGAACTATTAGAATCAGAGATCTATTAGACACGCTGCCTCCGAATCGTTTTAAGTTATGTTCAAGTAAAATCATTCAGAATGGAGAATTACGAGTAATATCAAAACCACGGAAGCTCGCGATGAACCTCTCCGTCGTAATCTCCATTCCTGGAAATCGTGGATGTTTTAAAATGGTTTGGAGCTATATAGCTGAAAGTAGAAGTCGTGAAACGTCGGAAAGATTAAATCTAAATTACAAAGTTTTTTTATAAAAAGAGCCAATTATTGACGTAACGATTTAAAAAATGCATGCTACCGTACACACGTTTAATTTCACCTGATCATCTTACCGCATGCATAACATTGAAGCCAATATGAGAACACTCTCGCGATAAATGAATTAGAAAATAGATAAATGTAGAAAATGAAGAAAATTTGGAAATAAATGAAATCAGAAAATCTCAAAGCTAATAATATATAGAGTAAGTTACTTAATATGTCGTCTGAAAATCAACACGTTTACATTGCCACAATTAAAACGTCCGACATTACTAAGTGTTGACTCTTTTTATTTGCCTTTATATTTTCGCGATGAGCTCCGTAAAGAGGGAGAGAGAGAGAGAGAGAGGAGGGATGGTGGACTTCCACTTTCAGCTCACATAAGCTCTTCAATTCCGCAATCGTTACTACCGTCGGCGAACATTATTGTTCTCATTAAGGTAACCCAATGTAATTACACATAATGTAACATTGCTAAATATATACTTCAAGGTTGCTCAAGATCTGGGAGCTTTATTCGGCACGCAATCTACGGACGCCCATAATCGCACTTACAAGTCTGAACACGATCACGATCACGATCACGACCATGCACACGAACACGGCCACGACCACGATCATGATCACGATCATGTCCATAATCACGATCAGGATCGGGATCACGATCACAATCACGATCACGGCCACGAGGAGGGTGCGACGGGGACGCCACTGAATGCGACGTCAGTGCCGAAGAGCCAGAAGGAGAGCGCGATGAAGACGGCCAAATCAAAATTCGTCCAGGTGAGGAAGAAGAGCGTCGACTGGTCGCAGTATTTCGGCATCGACCGGAGAAAGAAGAAGGCCACCTTCATGGCCGGCCCAGGAACGCAGAATCAGGACGACGAGTGGATCCTGCAACGCTATTACGAGGTATGAACGCATGTAAACAATTGCACAAGTGACTCGAGCGTTCGTCCGACTAACGGCCGGACTATTTGGGCAGAACATGGCCGAGAACTTGAAGTCGAAGGAGAACGAGAACGAACGGAAGGACAAGCTCGAACAGATGGACTCGAAGCTGAAATACATCAAGGACCTGATCAGCGACGAACCCTTGAGATACGCCGACCTGGAGGACGAAACGGAAGCGGATCTGCAGAAGGTAGTCCTTTCGACCTCGAACTAACTCATCAGTGGCCAAGTTTCATTTTTGGAACAAGAGTCTTGTTCAGTAAAATTACTTCGACAAGAGTTTCCTTCCTGCGAGCTTTTCAGTTTTTAATATTTCCGGATATTAAATTATTCACTATTTTATGATTTTAATATTAATTTGTAATCTACAGAAGAGAGAAACAACTGTATTAAACTCCATATAAAAATATTTGACTCAACTATACTTAAGTAAATTTTGCGTCCAATTAAAATTCCTTATGTTATAATCGTGGCCCTTAATAAGTTAATTTGAAAATGCACAGGAGGCAATAATAGCGCGTGAAGGACAGACTCGCAAAAATTCGTAAAAATCCGACAGGTGAAGGATAAGATAATGACGAGGATGGCGGCGGCCTACTCGCTGCAGAAGATGCGCAAGGCCTTGAGCGATCTCAGAAGCAACGTCGCGGCTCAGAAGGAGGCGCAGAAGACGCAGAAGGAGGCGCACAATAATTCGACGTCGAGTTACCGCAACAACGGCCACGGGAACACTAATGGCAACGACGGCGGTGGCGATAGAATCGACGAGAAACGCAGCGAAGTCGACCAAAATATAGACGAGGGTCTGTGTAAGTAATCGAAGAAGAAACGTTAAAAAATGAATGATAAATTACATATTACGCACCTTACAATGAGTCTCAAATCCAATTAACAAGTTACACTTTTCATTCGATTTTATATAAATAAAATTGGTCAAATAAATATATCAAATAAATTTTTTAAATAAACTTTTATCTTTACTAAAAACTTCGCAATGATTTATCATTTGTCGCGAATTGTCAATTTTCTATAAAAATTGCAGTAAATAAAAATCAAATTTGCAATAAAAATATTTTATTTTACATAAAATATACTTGCGACTAATTTTCTCACTTGAGAGATTTTTATAATTATCTTTTTAAAGTTATATTAATTATATCGTCCTCTTATACCACTCTCAAAATTGATCGAAACGTTTTCCTAACACTCTAATATTGATAGTTCGATCTTATATAGCCGTCGATGACAACTGTCCTGGAATTAAAGAGATTGAGTGGCAATGCAGAGCCGAGAGTAAGATAAGAAGAATCGGGGAAGAAGACTCGTTTTGGATGTTCGCACCTTGCGTGAAGCTACAGATGTGCAAAGTCTGCGTACGTGTCCACACTGATATCGCTGATTATTCGTTGCAGAGAATTTAATGAACACGTTTATCACTGCGTGACTAAGAATCGATAAACTATCGGTCGATATTGAATATCAGAAAATACAAACGGATCTTTAAGTTCCGATCTACAATCTCAATCTGCTTTCCCTTTTTACTACTATCAATCATCAACTCCTCTTAATTGATCCTTGAAATCAATATATGATATCTGAATTCCGAGAGAGATATTCATGTTCTCAATGACACACCGTGTCCCACGAAACAAGAACGGACATTCGTGAAGAAAAGAGACACGCGAAGAAAATATTGTAGCAAATCACCACGCAAATTTTTTAATGCTGAATCATACCGGAATTATTATCGAAATTGTCAAAGATATCACAGAAGAAAATATTATAGTAAAAATTATAGAAAATATTATAGTAAAATAGTTGTAGAAAATATTATGATAAAAATTACTACTAAAAAGTTTTCAATGTTGAATTATATCAAAATTATTATCATTATTACGTGTATTATAAATCTTAGTGATGTATGTTATATGCACACATTCAAAATTACAGCACACGTAATAATGATAATAATATTGATATAATTCAACATTGAGGAAACTTTTTTGTGCGAATTTTTATTAAAATACTTTCTCCGTGCAGAAGAAAGACTGAACACACTCGACCGACGCTCCAATGTTCCTTTCAGGCGCAGAATGAGGAAGACCTACAATACTGTCTCAGTAACTACATCACGGAATCCGACGCGGTGTGCGACACGTTGAGCTCCAAAGGAATGCGGATCAGCGACTCGTCCAGGCTCGGAGCGAGCTTCAAGCATCACAAGGACGGCCAGTCGTGCGCGAACGCCGCGTTGCTGCTGTCGCAGCTGCAGCCGCCGGTTGCGGCCATGGAGTGCCGTAACGTGCGCAAGTCGTGCGCGCGACACTACGATTACCAACACAAGTTCTACTATATCCCCTCGCCGGGTTATTTACGGAAAATGTCAAACCTATAAGAACGGGGAACGACTGGCGTCCTTCGGCAGCCCTCGATCAGCCGCGTAAAGCGGGGTCTACAATGAGAATTTAAGCTCCAAGCTTTAAGAAATTGACCAATCACAATTAATTATTCTCCTATAATTCGGTTATGATTGGTCAATTTCTTAAGGCTTAAAGCTTAAAGTATCTATTATAGATTATAACTAATGTCAAAAGAGAGAAAGATAGAGAGAGAGAGAGATCTTCCGTCGTAACGAGGCGTCGGCCGAGGTAATCGCGTTCCTCAGGCACGTTCAGCCCCTCAGCGGGCACCACGGCAGTCGCATTAGGCTCTTAGTTGGGCTCCGGGTTTGTTCGTGGAGGCGGAAGGACAACGGAGGATCCACGAGTAAGCGATTCCAAAGCATTCGTGCCGAAGTTTTATTCGCGAGAATGCGAGAGGCTTTATTTTTTCATATTTCATTGTCGACCGCGCTGCAATTTGTCTCGTTTCGCGACAGCTCACGGGACCTGCCTCGTGGTACTCGCCGAGGTGATTAACGGGCTGTTTTCACGGGCGGACGGTGTTCTCGAGTCGAGGCGTCGGTCGTCTTGGAACGGCACGACGTGGCTGACGAAGAGCGTGCCGCTCGCGCACGCGTGTTTTCTTGCTCCCGATTCGAGACCACGCGTCCGGGCTCGAATGTAGTGGCAGTGGAGTTAACAATGGTGATATATGGGAAAGCTCCTTCCGCACGCGAGGCTGCTTTCATGATTGATGTATCGGTCCCTCGTCGACGGAGAATTCAAGAGAGAGAGAGAGAGAGAGCATATTAGAAGAGATGGGCGCACGCGCGGTTAGTTAGTCTAAAATTGAGACGAGGCGACGCGTTTTACTCCCAAGCAGTAAGGTCACGTAAAATGACGTCTTATTGACGTCATTGAGACATTATTAAAACGTCATTTTTTGACGTCACCTTGCTGCTTGAGTTGCCTATTTGCGAGGCGCGCCGCTCGTCTGGACGACCTCCCAGATACCGCTGTATTCTCCTCCGCGACTGAACAACGACTTAACGAACTGCAGAGACAATAATGAACGACCGATGCAATCGATGCCCACGATGACAATTCGCGACGTTCCGCAGCCTTGCGACGCGTTCGCCGCCGAAAGGTCGCGGAAATGCGTCTCGACCGACGGATTCAGACATATTCGTACGAGCGCCTCGCAAAGCAAATCGAACCACACAATAAAAGTTTCGTGTTAAAAACGGACCGATGAGATTTTTGTGTTATTTTAACAAAATGAATGTGTTGGAAGGTAATATATTAACAAGATGAATATGTTAATTCCCCGGAAAAAAATTTTCCACATATAATTAGATATAGTTATAAGTAATTGTGTATAATTATATATAACGTGTCGTGCGTAAAATATGTTCGTATATAAAAATATATAATTATATATTAAGTGGTAATACAATTATATATGATTATATATAAATACATATATCAACGTATAATTATAAATAATCATATAAAATTACATATTTTTATATATGGACATAACCTATGCATAATTACATATAATAATTTTTTTCCCGAGTAAACCTGTATTTGTATATTTCTTAACATATTCTCCGTGTTGAAGTATCGCAAAAATTTCAGTGGACCGTTTTTAACAGAAAATTTTTCATCATGTGCATAATTCACCATCAACAAGTATCCGAAAAGGGGAGGGGAGAAGAGAAGGAGAGCGAAAAAGAGAGAGCGAATCTTTGTCGCGAAAGATTCACCTCAAAATGCAAAACGCATTGTTCTCTAGCGCGTTAATTATTCACGCTCCAGCGTGACTTCCACATCTAACAAGTATCTAAAGAATCCCACGTCGATAAATCGTGCGTGAGACATTCTACCGCGTTGACAAATTTTTCATAGATGATCATATATGGTTATATATAATCATACAAAATAATGCGCGCATAAAATTCGCCTATATATATATAATTAATTGCTATTGTGCTTTTGAAAAATTTTTTGTCATTTCCTTTATGTTAAGCATACAAAGACGGACGGCAGAGACCTTCTAACTAGTAAAGAGGAAAAAGAATTGTTACTTTATGCTCTTTACATGGTGGTTTCCATCCCGAGCAACAGCCGGTAATCATTCTACGTGGGGAAACTATAGAAGAATATGAAGTGACAATTTTTTTTCTCTGCATACTGGAAGGTCTCAACAAGTCTTTTTTTAAGTCTCAATGTAGAAAAAATGGTTAAAAGTTTTTTTTTTAAAGCACAATAGTAATTAGTATAATTGTGTACGAATTATATATGGACAAATTTTACATATAATTTTGTATGATTATATATATATATATATATATATATATATAGCCGTACATGATCAGATATGAAAAATTTTCCAACGGGTTGGGGCTGTATTTCGTACATGTTTACCGACAAACCGTCGGTGGATGTGTATATGGAATAGGAGTCCTGTGCATGTCTCGTGCCCGAGAACGTGGATTTGCGCAGAAGCAAAAATTAAAGGAGAAAAGAAGGAGAGAGATAGAAGAATGGCAAGAGTACTCGACGCAGCTTCCAAAGAGTTTATCTTTGCAAAATCTCTATATCTATTACTGTCTATTATATCGTATCGAACGTTGTACGCGGCGTTACGGATAAACACACACACACACACACACACACACACACACACACCACACACACACACACACACACACACACACACGACGCACGCGCGAACACACACACATACGACGCACGCGCGCGAACACACACACACACTCTCGATGTGTCAGTCCTATGTAACACACACACACACACACACACACACACACATATATATATATATATATTCAAATGTAATAAATATATTTCAACATAAGCAACGCGCCACAGCCACAGCTGTGTAATCCTTCATACCTCGTTGCCGCGCGATCCGACACCATTGAGGTTGCAGGGCTCCGGAGGAGGAGCCGAAACTTCTCGCAACATTTTCAAGATCTCCAGACACTGCGGGTTGTAGAGCTTCAGCAACTCCAGCTGCATCTTCACGCAGTCGACTGCGGTCAACAGGACGACTTGAGTTACGTGTAAAGAAAGAAATTCAAAGTTCGGTCGAATTCGACCGTTACTCACTTCTCATTTTCGACACTTGCTCCAGTCGAGCTTTCAGCTCTATCTGCGCCTTTGTGAGCTGAGAGATCACCTCCTCGTGGGAATTCACGGACATGACGGCGAATTCGTTCGACCCGCTCGATCGTGGATATCCTATAAAGTTGGAAAATTCATCAGAAAGAACGCGCGCAGCTTCTCGAGTTTCAATTTCACACGACCATCTTGGCGCTGTCAGTGGCGCCAACGTGAGGACACAAAAGTCCGTCGCACTTAATTACTTGCACTTTTCGCACTTCCATCTTCAGTTCTGTTCCTTTCAGCTGAACTAGGTCGCACTTTTCGCCGTTAGAATGAAAGAAATATATACAGGGTGTCCCCGAACAACAAGAACAAACTTCGTGAGAGCGTAGATTGAGGAACGGATTGAGATGAACAGAAAAGTCTTGTATTATTTTGCAAACAATATGCAAAACTTCGAGTTATTAATTATTAGAAATGGCCCTTTCCATAATTAATAATTTCAAATTTTGCGAGTTTGTAAAATAGAGGAATTTTTTGTCCACTGTTCTATGCCCTCATGAAATTTGTTCCTGTTGATCTAAACACCTAGTATGATCTAACGTTGAGAGGAAAAAAAATCAAAATTCCAGTGCTGCTAAAAAGAACAGGCCGCTTTTCTCTCAGTGAAAATCCAAAAAGTGCAGCTGTGGACGAACAGGCTTCCGTTCGGTGTCACGATGATCGTCTCAATGCTACGGCTAACTTCGTTATGAATCAACGATATAATCTTAAATTTCCCCAAGTCTTTCACTGACCAGGATGACTTCAGCCACTCCGTAAAATCGCCGGTTAATTACATCTACAATTACGATTCTAACTAATCGCTCATAATCAGATGCCGATTTGAATTCCAGCCCCGTCGGCGGAAGTGCGCGTCACGGGCGGCATGACGTCGCGGGAAAAACGAGGTTACAGCTTATTCATTGTCCATTACCTGCGAGTCTTGCGCAGAGAGGACCCGACGCGATCTCGCGATTACGAGATCGAGCGACGGAATTGCATCACGACGTTCTCGCGGGAGTAGCGCGGGCGCCTCGCCAGCTGATTTCGCCTTATCACCCGTATCAAAGTCCGCCCGAGATGGGAGGGAGGCCGGAGGGGAAGAAGGCGACAACGCGTGTGTTGGTTCGGCGAGTTTCATCGGCGAGCCGACGACGTCGTCGAACGTCGTGTCGCGCGTCTCTAACTGCGGCCAATCGTCCGTATCGGCGATCATCACGGAGAAGCTGCGCGGATTATACAATTGGCTCTGCCTCATGGTGGCGATCTCCACGTGCCGCGCCGCCGTCGCCACGGCCTTCAGGGCCGTAATATTGGGCGCGCCGGCCTCCGGCAAAGGCACGGTGTCTTCCAGGATCGTCGAGCAGTTCGGTGTATCGCATATATCCAGCGGAGACAGGCTGCGCTTCCACGTGTCCACCGGCACTGGTATGTACGGGAAATTCTGCCTTGTGGCCGTCGCTGATTGCAATTTGTAATAGACTGATCGATTACAATCGGGACGATTGCTCGGTTTTTGTTGGTCTTGACTACGTCTCGATTACAGGAATTAATTTTCCGTTTTTTCGACTAGAGTGGACATTTGTTTCTGCGACTTTGGACTCTCCGCGTATTCCTACATGGTTTCCGAAGCTTGTTTGTCTCAGGAGATTGATCATCTGTGCGATTAGAGCATATCTCCGCACGCGACTTTTCGTCGCCGTTGCGAAATGTCGAAGGACTATCGATTTATCTTTCGTCATATTTGCTGTCCTCGATGAGAGATGTCTGTGAATTATTCGTTTCAATAAAATCGCACAACGTTGCGCGGCCCTTTTATTTCCGATTTCGCTTTGCGGAAATAATTTAAAGCTCTTCGGATTATCGTCGATCCGTTAATTCTGAATGCACGTGCGGGTAGCCGCGATAAGGGACGAAACGTCGTGTTGTTTTTATTCCTTTTTTGCGTCACACGCTCGAAAGGATCTCAATTCACCACGGGAGATATCGCTGATTTCTAGAAAACATTCGAGTTATTTTCAGCGAAATGAAAACACCGCGATCGCACGGCTCGATGAAAATTCAAGGAAATAGCTGTCGTTCATTTATACTAGACAAGACTCAACATGAACACGTTTTCTTCGCAGATCTAGGTAAGAAAGTGAAGAAATACATGGACAGCGGCAGCTTCGTACCGGACGATATAATGATATCCTTGATCGGCCAGGAGGTCGAGTCGCTGGAGAACCCAAATTGGTTGCTGGATGGTGAGTGAAGCTGGGATCGGAATCAAGGATTGAATCGACAATCGAGAGAACATAAGATGATAAAACAAGATTAATGAATGAGAGTGACTTTCAGCAAACTTAGTTTAAATTGATCAATGAATAATAATAATATACAGAAAAAGAAGATGTTTAATTCAAGTAAATAATTACTCTAATATTCCTCAGTAATGCGGGAAAACATTTTCCATATTTAATTAGATATAAATGTATATAATTATCTAGAAGTCGTATATAAAATATATCCGTACATAAAAATATATAATTATATATGAAATGATGGTATAGTTATATATGTGATTATATATAAGTATATGTATATAATTATATATTTTTATGTATGGATGCATATTTTGTATATAATTATATATGAAAAATTTTTCCCCGGGAAATATTTACTCGGAGATGGGAGTAATATTTACTTGATTCAAGTAAATTATTTTCAAGTAAAATATCTGATCCAAGTAAAAATTTACTAAGTATTGGAGCTTCAGTATCGGAGTAATTATTTACTTGAGAATCCAGCATCTTTTCTCGTGTAAGAACGACCAACACTATAATTTCCAGTTGTAAAATTTATCATTCAACAATAATCAAAAATTTAATAACTCGTATCTGCGTTAACAAGGTGGTGCGGATAATACTTGAGATTGACAGCAATATTAAACCGTCGATTAGATTAATCAGAGTTCGGTGAAAGTCACTCGGAGAGCACGGAGATCCTTATCTGACGATATTCGGATGTTTTGACGATGAACACGAGATTCTGCAGAATTGTACCGGTATTGATCCTTGGTAACTAACCGCGCGCGTTTGACCTTACAGTCGGGATCACGTATCAACCGTGAACCGCGCTAGCGCTCGCTCTCGAGTCTAAATGCGAATGCATATTTTGGCATCGATGCAGGATTTCCGAGGACGCTGGCGCAGGCGGAACAACTGCAGAACCTGCATCCGATCAGCGTCGTGCTGAATCTCGTGGTGCCGACCTCCGTTATACTGGACAGGGTGAGGAGTAGATGGGTCCACTTGTCCAGCGGCCGGGTCTACAACATCGGCTTCAACGACCCACGAGTGCCGGTACGAGTTTTCGCAATCGAACGGCTCGATTTATAACGCGCTTCCGATTGATCGGGTCAAAGGAGTATCCAGCATCGAGTTCCTTTTTTTTCTTTCTTTATCGCTACGTTTACGTATGACGACGTGTTTAACTTTGGCACCGTTAACAATCAGACGAAATACAGGCTTGAATGCACGTCACGTTACAGGGCAAGGACGATGTAACCGGAGAGCCGTTGAGCCAAAGAGAGGACGACAAGCCGGAGGTCGTGCAGAAGAGGCTACAGGATTACACAACGAAGACTGAACCTGTCGTGCAGTTCTACCGCGATATTGGGATACTGAGGGAATTCCGCGGCAACACCACCAACGAAATGTGGCCGGTGATCAAGGATTTCGTGGCGCAACACGTCTAATCTTTCCATTGTCAGATTTCCTCGACGAATCCCCATATCAGCGAATCGATCGGTCGCGTAGATTCGACCTATTCGGATCAGTCGGATTCTTAGATGCAGTCTAGGAAAAGTAGTCTGCCAAATTTAGTTCAATTCTAAGGCCTAAGAATTTTTTTACATTCTTATAGTATTTAAAAGTTTATGTCAGTTTCGTTTTTATATTGAAGAAGTCTTTTATATCTTTGCATCTAAGAATTAAATTATGAATAGATAGGGGGGGGAGGAGGAAGGGGAAGAGTGGACCTAAAATCGATTTGATTCACACGCAAACACACCGTATATGATCTTAAAAAAGAAAAAAAAAATGTTTGAAGACGACTGCGGTTACAACGACAGTAAGAAAATGCGCGCTGTGCTTCTGCGCTTATTTTGCCCGTGGCACACTTTCGTACACATACGCGCGCGTTCGGCTTTAAGTTACGTGCCAATAACGGCCGACCTCGGTATCGACAATAATTGCACATGACTTCGAGAGATAAAATGCTGGTGAGATAATCTAACGAGATTGCATAGTGTTATTCATTCGTGGCACGTTGCAATTTTTTCTTTTCTTCCTTTGTTTGTTTGCGAGTGTTCGCGCGACTATTGCCATTGTTTGACTAAAGTTTGAAGTATATATATATATATATATAGTACAAAGTGATGATTATCGTTCGCGTCGATCCACGAAAAGTGTACTCACGAACGTGATCGCCATACATCTCCCATTTTATTATTCCGTGCGTATTGCGTTACCGATGTAAGAGAGATATAACAACAATATTTGATATTGTGTACATTTTCAACAGTATGAGTACAATATACGCATATATATACGTATATAAATAAATATATAAATATATATATATATATATATATATATATATATATATATACACACAGAGTGTCCTATTTTAATTTATCACTCCAAAATCTGGTTAATTTTTGATTGTGGGAAAAAATACTTCAAACAAAAGTTGCTTGGTTTGAAGAGGAGGCACATGATTCCAGAGAAAACAGAAACCTATTACGTCCATATCGTTGTAGCGTTAAAAATAGGATAGTAGATGGGAATTTTTAAATAGCGAATTCAGAACCATTAAAGACTTTTGCACAAACCTTACACGTGGAGCCAGTGACTTTGAAAAACTTTGAAGTTTCATATCTTTGGCTTATGTAAGAAAACAATTTTGGGAAGTGTTTTAAAAACGTCTCGACGAGATTTACATATTTTACCTCAAGGAAAAAATCAAGTTCTATTTAAGAAATTAGTCGCCTTTACAATTATCTTAAAAGCGACGATATCTTACGACACGATTCACATCGGAATCATGTGTCCCCTCTTCAAACCAAACAGCTTTCATCTGAAACGTTTTATTCTACAATCAAAAGTAGAAAACAAAGTTTTTTTTTTTAGAATGATGGATTAATATCGGACACCCTGTATATACATATACAGGAAGAGACACATCCAAAAAGGATATACCTAAATATTGCTGCTGCCTCTGACGATACGAAAATAGGTTAAGTATAAAGTTATATAGTTCGCAGGGACGGCTGTGGTAATCGGGACAAAAATTCGCTTAAAATTATTGTTTTCTTCCAAACTCCAAGATATCACCGAAGTTCCTTCGAATATTTAGGTGTGTCCTGTATTAGATGCCTCAACTTGTATATACCACACACTCGCATTCCCCGAATCTCTCGCTAATACGCCTTCAAAGGCTGAAATCACTTTAGCATTCGATCACAATATGTTACAATAAATAAATAAATAAATTAGCTTGGTTATACACTTTCCTCTAAATAAATCAGACTTAATAACCGAGTGGCGGCCCCGCTCGATCGTTGTTGCATACATTAGAGAGAATTTGCAAACGCATTACAATGTTTAAGTATCACACGAAGTGTTAGAGTTGATTCTACGAAATCCTGACGCGTGCTGCGCAAAAGAAACGGTCTCGCATTCGGACCAGCGCGAAAAATAAATATCCGTTCACGCTCGACACGCGGTTACGATGAAGTCTTGTCAAGTTTAGCTACTACTATTACTAACGATCGATTACAAGCAACCTACCAATTTTGAGATCAACGCGTAATCCAGGGTGAGAAAAATTGTGCATTCTCATATAGCCTCATATATACATATACATACATATATATGTATACATATTACATCATCAAGAAACGAACAGTCAGCTTGACGGTTAACTTGTCATCGGAAATCAATCTTGCTCTCGAGCTTGCCCTGCGTATATGGGTTTTTCTTTTTCTCAACTCTCATAAGTAAACATGAGATAAACCTAGTCACTGCGTAAACTTGAACTTTATTCTCCGGTCGCGCGAAATGCGACGCTGTCGTTTCCAAAAATTGAAGCGACTTTACCGCTCTAAGTGGTGTAGTGAACTCTTTTCGCGCGCTTCGCTTTACGATTTCCTACATGCGCTAGAGGAGCGAATATACGAAAAGAAGAAATACTTGTCGCGGATAGTGGACGAATGAGTAGAGATGTAATAGAGATATTAGAGACTAACATTCCACGTCGATGTTCGAGCGAGCACATGATCGCTGTGTGTTTACGTTTGTTCTCTTGCTTCTCTTCGTCTTATTGCAGCAGCTCAAACTTTTCGCACTCGCACAAATCGTCCTCCAGTGTCTCGTGATCGTCGAAGGAACTCGTCGATGCCAGAAGACACTCGTCGACTTCGATACCCTGCTGCAGATCTTTCCTGCTTCCTTCGCAGAACAAGAACATCGGATAATCCGCCTTCTGATTCGACGGTATCACAAACTGCAACAAAGGGATACATTATTCGACTCGTTATGTAAACTTTCCTTGTATCTTATCTTCCTTTGTATCTTTTCTCTCTCAATGTTTCATTTGCGTCTCTTGTCTTAACTCCCTACTTTGTTCGAGGCTACTTGACATATTTTCATCTTCTAAACAACAGATAATTCCGTAAGAGAGGCATGAGTCACATTTTTACGATTTTATTATTTTGTTGCTTCTTCAATAGATGCAAAAAGAAGAGGAGACGCGAATATACTTGATTTAAATTCCGTCAGCGTATAACTAAATGCACATGTATAAATTCCACTGAAATTCGCGCGCGTTGAAAAAAAAAAAGATCGTACTCACTCGCTGAATCGTCTCCATGAACTCTGCGAGCGACTCTCTGTTCGGAAAATAGAAGCCTACGCAGCAGCTAGGGTCCATCTTCGAGAGCAACATCTTTCTCGGCGACGTGCAGTGGAAACTAATCAACGGGAAGTTCTCCTTCGACACGTCGACGGTCTCCTGACAGTAGTGCGGATCCAGGTGGATCAGCTTATCGTCTTGATAGCCGATGAAGTAGAGCGAATGCCGGGGTCGACCGCCGATAACACCGATGCACGCGTCTAACGTCAACAACGACGTCACGCACGGTGCGTAGACGGGGTTCAATTTGTCGGTGCCGAGCATTAGAGGTACTAGTAGTATCAGGGACTTCCATCCACCGTCGGGAGTGCGGCAGGCGTCCTCGACGTCTTGCATATATACTGAAAAGTATTCATCATCAATCCGTGATACATCATAATTTTCCCCGCAACTGACTTAAAATTTGACATAATAAACTCACACTTCACATTATACTAATTTATTTACACTGTGTGGTCAATCATAAGAAGGTTGCAACATTTTGTTCTCGATGAATTTCGCAAAGCATCTCGTATCCAATAGGAAAACATATCTCCTGAGAATTACTGAGAAACAAATTCTCCTATTGGACACGGAAAGCGTCACGAAATTTATAAAAAAAAAAGTGTTGCAACTTTTTTTGTGACTAACCATACAGTTGTTAATATATTTAATAGTTTTTATCATTTATAATTGTTTTAAAATATTTTCACTATTTTTATTAATTTTTATGCTGTACTCTCTGTTTCTCTAAGTTAATTTGGATTTCACGAATTTTTGCCTGTCATTTACGAACTTTCCTTATTCGTGTTCAATAAAAGGTTTTTCCCCATTAATAAAACTCATTATTAATACAAACCTGCGCAATCTTGAGCAACGTATACCGCCAGCCGACTGAGCTTACTGTTGGGAAGTTCGTTGGTACGTTCTACAGCTTGACATAAGAGGTGCGCAACAGAATTGGGACCATACCAATCGCCCGCCCGCTTCCCCGTCGATGCGCCGAGAGACACGAGCCTATGTATGGAGAATGGTGACTCGGGCTTCGACTGATCCGCGAACCACTTGATGATCATTCGGTGATTATGGTCATCTCGCATCTGTTGAACGGTTTCGATTGGTTGCTCCGACCTCCATCTCCATTCTAGGCAGAGTAAGGACAGGATAAGTTTCTATTGACGTTAATGCACACTCTCTTCATAATAATCTCCTCTTCAAATGATAACTCGATTTCTACGATAATACTCGATCGAAAAGACGATAAATCTCTTGCAAAATAATCTATAGGAATTTCGGTTAATTTTATGGATTTTTTTTCTCAAAAACGCGTTTATTAAAAAAAAACGACACGTATTTCAATGAAAATATTTTCCACCGCTTGCTATCAAATTTTCCCATTTTTCCGACAATAAGTGGATCTCACGGTAGAAAAAAGGACTTATCTTTAGAAGCAATTCGTTCATCGACGAATTTTTTTATTTCCCCCAAGTTTCGAAAGTGCGTACCTTGAAGCGCATGTTGCATCGATCAGAACAAATAATAATCAGATGATGACGCAATGTTTGGAGAATACATAGGGTGGGGTAAGATTTTCAAACGATCGTAGAAAGTAGTTTGATCAACATCCAATTGTTCCGCAAGTTCTTCGAGCATTTGAATTGAATCTTCATCCAGTAACGCATCTAAACGTCAACCCTCGAAATTAACCGAAACATCTAATAACAGAGAGTAGAAATAATTACCACGTCCGAGGAAATGGCAGACCAACGCTTGCGCGAGCATCATTTGGCCGCTGCGCAGCATGCAGCCCCAGCCACAGTCTGTGGTGAACGTGGAGCCGTTGAGAATGGGGAATTCCCGCCTGTAAGTGAGCCAAAGACGCGACGCAAAGTCCCTCTTGAACTCCTCTATGGTGTTCTCGAAATTGGTGGCGTCCATCGCCAAGGAGACCTGACTGCCAGTCCCCACCGGTTCCAGGGCCTCCGAGGCGCTCTCCAGGGGATCCTCGGACTTCTTCAGGTAACACTGGCCCAACAACCAGACGGGAGATTCTTTGGAGAAGTTCGCCTTCATCTTCATGGTCCATCCTGCCAGGCCGAGAACGGAAAGAGAAGAGTTCAGTACACCTCGTGGCCCGGCGCTCCGCCACGACTCCGCGATGGATCTGGTCGGGATACGAACCGTACTTAACGTTATTCCACATAGAGAGCAATTTCGTTTTCACCTTACTGTCGACTTCCGTGGGAACGCTGTCGTCCAACGGTATCTCCGCGTCTGAGATGGGGATGGCCGGGACACGGTCGGTGCCAAACATCCTGAATAAGTCCATCGTCGTGTCGGAACTAAAGCCGTCTGGAAAAGGTACAACACCTGTGTTCAACTGTGTCCTGTAGCGCATCTGATTGTGTTTCATTCGCGGTGCCGCAAACAATGTTGACGACGGCAATATTGTAACACATCCGGCGAATAAACTAATAAACACAGAGTGCAGGTACAGCCGAGAGAGATTCCTCCTCGGTTGAACTTTACTTGATGACTTGTAATTCACACGAAGATGGTGCTCTCTTGAGAAAAACAAGTGATATGTCGAGAGCCCCGGAAAGAGGAGATATCTCTTATTTAGTCACAGATAAATCATATCGATTTCCTCCTTGAAGCAAGACTTGAATAGTCGCAGCTTGACGTTCCTTCGAGAGAGAGAGAGAGAAAGAGAGAGAGGAAGAGAAAGAGAGAGAGAGAGAGAGAGAGAGAGAGAGAGAGTCCAGGAAGCTCTGTCTGTGGAGAAATTGGAAAATTTGTCAATTCGATACGCTGTGGTCTGTGTGTGTGTTTGATAAGATGATGTGGTTGGTTTTTAACGAAAGCATCACATCTGTCGATGTTCTTAAGATTATCAAGTTTTCCAGACAAACAGCATCATCCACTTGGCACCGGGGGAAAGGTCTGGGAGGAATCCGTGGAATTCGTGAGATAATGGAGAGCATGGTGGCTGACACCACGATAGTCAGATACCGCTGTTATAATAAATCACAAAAGTAAATATACGCTGACAGGGCCGCTGAGTACACCTTGCATACTTATCTTGTTTGCAATGGATACGGCGTGCACATGCGGAGCCGGTGTTTTATTTGGCTCTCGCCAATATACCCTAATGAAGCCAAATTAACCGTGGCGGTCAACAGAGCAACGATAAGAACAGCTAATAATCTAACAATTAGCAGTGAGCACACACAAGAGTGTTCTCCAAGAGAGAGAGAGAGAGAGAGAGAGGGAGGGAGGGAAAGTCCGTCAAACAACGCAACAGTGTTCTCCATCAATGTATTTCAAATCTTCCCTCGATCCTCGTCCTCATTGTCCCTCCGGCGAGTTTGGCGCGCATCGCGAGATAATCGCGCGATCGGCCGAACGTCGGCCAGGCGATTAGAACGAGTTCGACGGGTCGGGGAACAAAGCGAGAGATCGAAAAATTCGCGTAATCCGCCTTATCGTGGCTCGTTTCGCAACGAGCTTTATCACACCAACGGCTCCGTCCCGGGGAAGCTGAGAGACAATGAACGTCGCCGAAGGATGCTGCACTCACCTAACCTCTCCCTCGACGATTGCACCTGGCCGTTCATTGTCCCGGAGACTTATATCGCTCGATGAACTCAATGATAGAACGTACGACACTCGGGAGATCCCGTTCTGCTGCCTGTCAAGCGGCCGAAGAAGGGCGGGTTACATTTTATGCGCACGTGACCGCGCGAGTGGCGTTTTCACAGAACGCCGTGAGGCATCGTTCGCGGATCGACCGCGTAACCCGATTACGCGTCGCTTCGCGCTGCACGTAGTATACCGGGACGGTGCATCGGCTGCTCGAAGTCCGACGAGCAAGCGACCGGCTGCTACCCGAACACACTCCCGACACTGCCGAACTGACTGCGGGGACCCGGAGGCGAGCAGGCGGACGACGAGGAGGTTAGAAACGACGCGGGTGGTCGAAGCGCGCGTCCGCCGTGAACACGAGAGAGAACGATCGCACCACCATCGACGGCGGCGAGAGCACGCGCAAGCGAATGGCGAAAGAGCAGCGCGTCCTACGGCGTCGCGCCACCGGATTTTAAAGCGTTCGCCGACCACCGACGCCAGCGCCGCCGTGGCGGCGCTCCGAGCGCAGCCGACTGCGCGCTAATCGACCGTAAGATCTCGTTCGTTGCGCGTTGATGCCGGCAACGGAAAGCCGGGATCTGATCGAGGGTGGCTGCGGCTCGATGTACTCGATGTCATCGATGCCTTTCGGCGGATCGAGTTTCGGTGTTTTCCCGCGCCGAATGCACGCGAAATCACGGACAGGTAGGTACAGGTGGGCACAGATAGATAGAGCCGTAAGCGGTGTTCTTCAGCGGCACAAATTGGCTAGATGATCGTTTGCCAAAGTTTGCCCTATCGGTCAGCCAAGCGATCCGTGCTCCACTCCGGCTGCGCTGTAAATTTGAAGGTCACCGGTGCTTTCGGAGAGAACATCATTCAGACGCTCTCTCAGCGCTAACGCTTCGCCGACCAAGTTGTGCCGCCAGGATACAATATGCATAATATTTGTCTTCCTTTGTATCAACGCGAAGTCAAGCTCGCGAAATTCACTATATTTTCGTGGCATCGTAAAACACTAAAATTATGCCGTTATATCCAAATCAAATAATTCTACCAATTTTTATCAATTTTTAATAGATTATTTACACGGATTAGATTTGATTATAAGTTAGATAAGCAATTTTATTTAACATATCTGTATAAATAATATAAAAGGTATACATACATTAAAAATAAAATTTGAGAAAAGTAAGCAGTTCCACAACAGTTCATGGATTACTCGTACATAGATCATGCACATATTACATGTAGTTTACATTGTCTGTGCATAGACGTTAAGCTTATTATATTTTACGCTCAAACGCACAACCCTGGCCGTAGGCATCCGTACGTCGAATGCACGATTGGGTGCGTTAATGTCGTTCGTTGCGTCCGCGTTCACACACATACGAGTACGGCGAGGCTCGACGATTCTTGGCGTTCTTCCGCGAGCTAAAGCGCCCGAGCTGGATTATTAGTCGCACAAATGAGAAAACACGCGAGCGTCGCGAAATATTTCGATTGTAGGCGCTTCGAGCAACGGCAGCATGTTCTCTGTTCATTGTGTGCACTGAAATATAAGTATACTGGAAGAGACACTGCCATATAATGCCGACGGAAAGCGTGCGTCAAAACAGATAGAACTCAGACAGTACAAAGTCCAAAATCGGGACGTAGATGTCTCCAAGTATCCTTAAGTAAGGCATTTTTGGATATTGTGCCGTCTGGGAAGTTTAAGACTACCTATTTCTTATTTATCTCCTACATAGAAAAAAATTACATCAAGAATAGATATTTATTAGGTTAGATATAAGCAAGAATATCATAATCCTCTTAGAGGATTTTTAGTCTTGAATTGAGTTCAAATAATACTTGCATCGATATAAATTGAATCAAATCAAGACTCTTCTACATAAAAATTTTCTAAGAAGATTGTAATATTCTTGCTTATACATGAGAACATCTATTCTTGATTTAATTTTTTTCTGTGTACTTATATACTTATATTTGTCCCTTTCTAAAGAGAACGACGTATATGCATACGACAAAGAGAGATAATTCTAAAGTTGACCTCTCTTTTCGTGAAGTCGGCTTCACTTTCCGAGGCCTCTTTATACGGATATATTTCAATGATTGTGTGTGTGTGTGTGTGTGTGTATGTGTGCGCGCGGAATATGCTCGAGCGGTATCGCCATTTTGCAACGCGCGGTAGAGTTACGAGTAACGGAAATTCGAACGGATTGATCGATCAATCGTCGCGCGACTCTGTTATGACCACAAAGAGCGGTGATCTATCTCTGTTTTGTGATCATTAGTAGTAACAATATATCGTATAATGCTACATAGCGATAATCATTTATTACATAAAAATTGACACAGAGAAAAATAAGAATTTATTATGCAATTTATATATCACGCACAATGACACCTGTAGCATAAAAATACTCTTTAGATACGGATTGTTGTCTGCGATTTGTAACGTTTTGTCCGGAAATGTTTCATTTTGAACAAAAGAGAGAGAGAGAGAGAGAGAGATATCTCATGAGTACATGGCGCAATAATATTAAATAAAATACTATTTGGTGCGCATCGCGTGTTTGCAACCGTGTATTTTCCGCAATGCTCTCGTGTATTCGCGTTTAAAATAAATTTCCGTAACTCTCTTTCTCTCTCTCTTTTTCTCCCCCTCTCCTCTCTCGGTTTCTATTTACCTAGATTCGTTACCTTTGCTCTATTTGAACTTATTTTTATCAATGTAGATGATGAATGCGATTTCGAGGTTATCTTATCGCAAGCAGTATATACACGCGCGAACGACGCCGAGTTATTTGCATCTCAAGGTGAATACGGGAAAAGCCTGATGATGAATCAAAGCTCCATGCACTATTTATACAGTTATTATTACATGCACGGGCTTTTTACGGAAAACGAACGACGACGGGGGAAGAGGCAAGCACAGGACGAAAGAGAGAGGGGCGGAGATCCAAAGCGCGCGTAATCACGTGACGGGTTTTCCCTTCGCTACTATAGAAACGCTCCGAGGTAGATCAATAAGAGGATCGTCTTATTTAATCGACCCTTGCTCCCGCATCTTTTCCTTAAACAGCCACCCTTGTCACTTTCTCATGCTACTAGGGCTCGTAGCTGCGCTCGCTTTCCGAATCGTGCTTTCCATCTGGGGTCGTTGGCCTTGAGGAGCACGTGGGGCCCGACCGCGGTTAGTCTCGCCGGAAAACCCTCTTAGATTTCGCAGATAATCAACTGTCAGCGGTGCACGCTATTGCGCAATGCGAGGCGCTAAATTGAGCCATTAATTACTTGCCCCGACACATCGCCACGATACACCGCGTCCACGTGAAAAATTAAATGGGCCGTACCTCTCTGCCGTCTTTACGTTTTCAATCGCGCTCACTTTCTCTCGCAAAATGAAAAAAAATTAATCTCGGAAAAAACTTTCCCTCTCTTCGACACACACTTCGCTGACTTCTCTCACACCACGTTCATAATAAAAGAAGCTGACAACGAACGCAAGAAACATTTGCCTCGTTTCTCTCTCTTTCGTCGACAAAAACATCTGCGACCTGATCAAATTTACAAGAGGGTCGAGCGGGGGAAACGAACCGCTGGAAGATTTACATCGCAAACTAACGCGTAAATTCTGTAATTCCCACGGCGAGACTTCTACAGGGAGAGGGGGGGGGGGGGGNAGTAAAAATTCCGTCGGATCAGCGCGGGGGGTCTCCACGGACCTAATTAGGCCGGTGGTGTACACTCGGCTTAAAGCCGAGCCCCGACGGCGGGTATATCGGTGTTTGAATCGAATCGAATACGTTTATAACGAACTCGTCGCGTAATAAACGACGCTTCGAAGTAATAACGGATCGGGGGAACGGTTCATAATTAACGCGCGATATATCGATTGGTCGGCGATCCGAGAAGGCATGGATTAAAAATGATACGCGATGTAGGTCGACGGCTTAATTAACGAACGCCTCTTTTATTTTCGAGCGATCGATGGGACGACGCGTGGCCCACGCCGAGGGAGCCGCGGGACCCACGCTCCCGAGACGCTCTCTCGGGCGGAGAGTTCGCCGTAACGACGAGTGGCAGGTGCCGCTTCTGAAACGCCGCCGTGAGTAATGGTGAAGCATCGGAGGAAGCGAGGTCTTACTTACAAAGCAATGGGATCGAGATTGCTCCTTTGTGCATTTCTTAATGCAATTTTTTTAACGACGCTACGCCGGCGGCTTAACGAAGTTTCTAGCATCCGTCGGAAATCGATAACGACGGTAGGAGGAGAGAGACAGAGAGAGAGAGAGAGAGAGGGAGATGTAAGAGCACGAGATTGTCCGAATTATCGATTACGCGTCGCTATCGCCATTTATCACGGGAATGGAAATTAATGTTCGCGTGGATAAATAATTACGGGTTATCCTTGATAAGGCGCAACGCCTTTTCGCCGGTCTCTAATGCAGGCGGACACGCGAGTATATTTTTATCGATCCGCTGTTCTAACGTCCGATTCCTCTTAACTGCAAGGTTTCCTCATCGCTTCCCCCGTCACAATTCCCCTCTCTTTTCCACGGAAATTCCAAAGTGCACGTGGAGCGGATGAGAGGAAGGAACGGTTCGCACTGCTCGTTTTCCTTGAGGAACGTAAATTTGCGCCGGAGCGGAAGAAGCGGTCGTCGCCGCAGTGAGCGATCGCTGCCCATCGGATTACTTCATCACGGTCTCACGGGTTTGATGTTAACGCAATGAACGAGCAGTGCGTTGCAGCAACAGTTTCCCTTCTCTCGCAAAATTATCCGACGAATGACGGGATGCGCGAATGCTTCCTTCCAACCGCTGTGTACGCTTACCTCTCGTTTCAAGCGCAAAAAGTTCAGCGTGTAGCAGTTAGGGTAGCTCCGGGGGGGGGGGGGGGGAAACGGACTTTTAA